TTTTAACGTCGTTAGCTCGACATTAGTGCCATTCGAGTCCTCATAAAAGTGATCCGATCATGTCAAGCTTGACACCTAAAATGCACCTCCAAACATTTTTCACATGTGGCTTCTCAACTTCGGTCCCAATTGATATATTCCTTTCACTTCATTCGAGAAAATCCTTTCTCAAATCTTAAAATAATGGAGAATTAAAAGTGATAACGAGCAAGAACAAGACTCGTAAACAGGAAGCCATAATGCTAAGAAAAATTCGATTTTATTAGCATCGTTATTGAACTCATTTGGAAGGAAAAATTCAATAGCGAGGCACATAAAAAATATTATCTAAATCTACTTGCTCAAAATCATTTTCTTGCTTAGATGGCTTATCAACAACCACAATCTTGTTTGGCTCTTTATTATAAGTTTGCTTTATTCTAAAATCTTCAACAACTTGCTCTTAGTCCAGGACATCATCTCCCTCACTTGTTGCACATGAATGTTTTTCCAAACTCATTTCTATTTTAGAGAGAAAATTATTTGATGCTTGTGATTCTACCTTACTTATTATTGTAGCCAATTAACATACTTGAGTCTCTAAATTTTGAAGGCTTACTCTTATTTCTTGTTAAAATTGCACGGTGTCAATCATAATACAATTGACGATATCCTTAAGAGATATACCTAAATTTGGAGTACCTTGTTGTCTAGCTTGGAATGATGGTTGCACGTATTGAAATCTTTGACAATTGTGAATTGCATTATCAACTCGCTTGATTCCTATAACTAGTACAAGTGCTAAAGTAGGGGTAACATTGGTATTATGATTGTTTTGAAAATTCCTTCATGGCATAATACACACCAATAGGTTCTTCTTGAAGCATCGAGCACATATCTTATGAATGCCTCGATATCGAACATATACCATAAATATGAACTTGTTGCACATTTCTTACAACCATTTGATACATTAGAGAGGTTAGATTAGAAATCGTTATGCAATAGCAGGTAATCTCTTAGATTGTAGGTCATATTGAGAGCCAAACTGTTGAGAATACCAAGTCAAGTTAAAAAATAAAAAAATTAGATAAAAACAATCATAATACCAAGAAACAATTAAATTGACTACAATCCTTCCTCGACAATGATGCCAAAATTTTATGGCGCATCGTACCACAAAAAAAAAATTAGATATTTATATTTTCCTTATTTAGCTTTCGATCATTATTATGTAACCAGGACAAGTAATGTTTGAACCCATAGGAAAAGAGGTTAAATTGCCCATTTCTTCTGTTTGAGTGTTCTTATGGTAAAAAAGAGGGGTTTTGTGTTTAAGGTACTTGAAATCAAATAAAGTAAATTGAAATAATAATATTAAAGAAGCCTTTATTGAACTTTAGTATCTACTTTTAGTTTGGTCATTGATAATCAATTAAATAACTAACTTATCCTAAACATAAATATTCACCATAATATAATAACATGTGTGTTATCCTCGGTCTTTCCTTACTTAGTCATCAATCGAATATATGATACCCGATTAATTTTTTAGCTATTAAACAACCTACTAAGTGCTAGATAGATTAAATCTAATAACGGTATTAATTAGAAAAAGACGGATGAAGCTAAGTCACCTTTTAAACGCTAGAGAATATGTAATCTAGTTCTATGTTTTTCAAGAAATTGAATGAAACGTGAAAAAAAATCTTTAACTCCTAGTTACTATCTCGGGTAAGTTTAGACAAGCAATTACATAAACTTGAGTACTTAACTAATAATAATTTAATATGATCAAATAACTAACATACACTCTAATCAATTTAATCATATAATTATAAACCAATCATGTAGAAAAACATAAATTTCCTAAATAAATTAAGTTTAGAAAAACACTTGTAATCTCATGGCGATTAACCAAAAGCTTTAACTTGATTCAACCAAGAATATAGTTTAGTTGCTCATAATGAGTCACAAAGAGAGTTTTTTTATGAATGATGGATGTTAGGAGGTAGGAATTCTAAACTAATATCCTAGCACACTATTTATAGCTAAAACTAGGGTTACATCATGTATGTGTTAGCATCACATGGTCACACGAGTTAATAAAATAAGTTATATGGCTTGTTGCTTAATATTACACAATTTGAAGCATTGAAAAATAAATGTTACATCGTTTGCTAACTAGAGCAAACGACCATGGGCCTTTATTCTTCATTTCGTATTGCTTCTTTAGTGCCTATGTAGACTTTTGCCTTCAAACTATGTTGAATCTCTTCGTTCATGTAGACTTATTGTTCCTTGGAGACACGAGCATGTAACTTTGCACTAGAAACCATGTGCAAAGTCTTCCGCCTATGTGGTCTTCTTCTTTCCTTAGGTTGTGCTAGATTGAGACACACACACGGAGCCGTATGAGATTTCTTCCTCAAGTCATGTGGAATGCTACTTTCCATGTGGCTTGTATTGATGAGCAATCCATACGACTTTTTTCTTTATGTCACACGATCGGTAGCTTTGTTCTTTATTATTTCACATGACCATGTGGCTTTTCTAAGTCTCTTTGGCGATTTCTCTCTTCCTTACTTTGGTTTTAGATTTCCTTGCTTTTATTCATCGATTTTTCTATAAAATCCAAAACCATCATCTTATTCTTAAATAACATAATATAATAAAATAAATACTAAAAAGTTCAATGTAATATAACATAAAAATCATGGTAATTATGAACTCATCAATTAAAAAAGAACATATGTTCTTAACTATAATTGTCTCGGGACACTGGAAAGCCAAAGATCAATCTAGACATGTACTTACAATCCTTAATTAAAGAGTTGGTTGAATTATGAAAAGTTGATGTGCCTATCTATGATGTATCCCATAAGGAGAATTTTCATATGCGAGTCGTTGTCATATGATAATCAACGACTTTCTTGCATACTTAATGTTGTCGGGTAGCAGTATTGTAGGTAAAACAGCATGTCTATATTGCATGAAAAAATCTGATGCCTTTAATCTCCGTAATGGTAGAAAAAATTCTTGGTTTGACTTGTCACCATAAGTTTCTAGCACAAAGTCATTTTTTTAAGAGTAACAGGAATACCTTCAAGCAAAATTCAATTATGACAAACATTCCTCCTTTTCCTCATTTCTTTTATTTTACTTTTCTCATCCTCTCCCTGCTTTCCCCCGCCATTTGATTCTGCCCCTTCATCTCCTTTCATTTCTTTTCCCCTATCCATTCTTCAACACCCCACACAACCACCCCCCCCCCCCCCCCCCCAAACACATTTGCTTTCTTTTATCATTTCCTTCCTTTTGTCCGCTCCTGTTGTCTAAAGTGAGTGGTCCACTGTTGTTCTTGTATCAACTAAACTAAGAAGTTGCTCAAAGAAATATAAAACTAGAATAATGAAGCAATTATGCAAATAGATGATCATTGGAGATCACAGGCTTAGCAGGACAATTGATGTTCAAAATAACAATTTAAGTCTTTGAAAATATAATGTTGGCGGACCAAGTCCTCCAGTAGCACAAATATGCTCTTTCCACTCGAGTAATTAGCTTCAGATGTCACAAAATCTCCCATTTTTTGGAGTTAGGACTTAACCGTCCAATATATTTACATATATACATTATTGAATATTTCCTGAAACAAAAACTAAATTATTTTTTGAAAGACATACTAAGTTAAAATTTGGATTTTTTTTTTTTAGAGGTCTAGAGCTTTCATCCATGAAAAAGTAAAAATAAAAATAAAAATAAAAACAGAGAAATAAGATAAAGGAATAGGGTGAGAAGAAGTTCATAAGGGCAAAAACAGAAGTTTCTCTATTTCTTTTCTTAAACTCAGCTTTTTGAGCCCAACATAAAACAAGACAATCCAGGCCATATGTGAAATAAGAGGCTGCTTTAAGCTTGATCTAACAATATTCTCAGTCCCTATTGTTAATCATTTCTTACCAATTGAATCCCGTACTCCAAGTATTTTCCCATTTGAACGACGAACATTCATATGCCCAAGCTCACATATCCAAACCGAATATTAGTAGTCGAAACTCTATATTCAGTTTGATCCCTTGAATTTTGCAATTTCACCATCTCTCAAAGTGCCAAATCATTGGATCACGTAATAACCTTTCAAATTTAGCATCCAACTTGGACCGAACAAGAAAAGAAGATATAACCTTCTTCGTAAACAAACTGATATAAAATCCAATTGGTTTCATATCAAATCCTCTTCAATGCCACAACTCCATTAACGTTATATACCACAGACATAAGACGTGGACTATTATAAAATAGGTAGATGGTGTATGATAGATACAAACTGCAAATCCGGTGCTTGATTAGTTGAAGGCGTCACAGCAAAAATTGGATCATCAGCATTGCACAAGTTTTTTTGAGAAACTTTATTTTCTTTTGGAGCCTAAAAGTAATGTGATCGTTAGTTGAGTTCCAATCTTATGAAAAGCTCCAGGCTGATCAGGTGATCATATGTTTAGCAGGAGGATTGGAGAGCAGGACAGGACAGGGTTCATCACATATTTGAAAGAAATACGAAAACAGTGGACTTTCGACCAGGATTTGATTCGATAAATCAATAATCAAACCATGCCGGGGTTCGGGTCACACTTACACTTTTGGTATATGAAAACAATTGTGCCTTTGGATCTGCTTAAGAGAGAAAATGCTACCACTCATGAAAATTAACTTGCAAATTGCCTTAAGAGTAAATGCATGCTTTTACTTCTATATAAGTCTGCAGACTACAGCTAAATTGGGCAAAAAGATGACGAATTTTCCACATGCTCCCATTACCATATCAATTCCATTATTCCAAGAATCTACAATCGTTACTGGATAAAACACAAGAAAACTCCTCATTACATCAAATCTCCTCATTCCGTAACAGAAGAGAGCAGAACACAAAGATTCAAGTTTTATTGACTAGAGTTGAACCCAAATTGAAAACAAAAACGAAGTACATTGCAATTGAAAGCAAAAGAAAGATGGAAAATTCAAAGGGCTTTAAGCATGTCCTCAGCTCCACTGGAAGTAAAAGCTCCACCTTCCTCCAAGTTAAGAACCTTGACAACTCCATCTTCAGCCAACAATGAATACCTTCTTGACCTCACTCCCAGCCCAACTGGCTTATCACTCAAATCCAACTCACACCCAATTGCCCTCGTAAAATCCCCATTTCCATCAGACAAAAGCAGCACTGCATCGTCTTTGATCCCCAAATTCTCCTTCCATGCTTTCATCACAAACGCATCGTTGACTGATATACACGCGATTGTGTCAACCCCTTTTGACTTTAGCTCTGCGGATTTCTCCACGAAACTTGGAAGGTGTTTTTGAGAGCATGTTGGGGTGAAGGCGCCTGGGACGGCGAACAGGATTGATTTTTTGCCGGATGTAAGGGAGGAGATTGTGGTGGTTTGGAGTTCTCCTTCGGAGTCAAAGTAGGAGAGAGTGGAGTCCGGGAGTTTGTCCCCGACGGAAATGGTGGCGGAGATAGTAGAGAATTTTCTAGTGGCGGTTTTGAGGGGTTTAGGAAGGCGGTTGGGTTTGAGGGGAGAGAGGAGAAGGAGACTTTGGAGGAGAGGAGGGATTTGGCGGCGGCAGCAGTTGTGGTGGTGGAAATTGGGGTTGGAGAGGAGAGGAGGAGTCTGGAAATGGAGAGAGAGGCGGCCATTGGATGGATTTGTTAAGGATTTGGTGGTGGGAAAAAGGGTTTTCGGTGGTTTTGTTTGAGTGGCTTCGATTCGACTTCGATTATATCATATGGATTTGATGCTGTGCTGGGCGGAGGATACAATTAAGGGTGGGAGGAGATTGCCATTTGTCACGTCAAGGAGGTAGATTTTTGGATGAAGTGTGATTTTGACCTTATAGTTTTGAAAATGCTCAACTTCAATCCCTATTCTTGGAATTTTCCAATATTAACCACGTACTTTCTTTTTTTTTTCGAAAAGTTGAATTTGTAACTCCACGTTAAGTTTGTTGGTTTAGAAGTTCGCTGTAATTGTTAAGAAAAAACTTCAAAAAAAGCTTTTGATTGGTGGAGAAAAGTTGAAGGTATTTGCTCAATTTGTATTGAAAACGGTGAAAAAAAGAAAAAGAAAAAGAAAAAATTGACGTTATATATTATTTATGTAATAAGAAATTATTTTAGTATCATATACATAGACTTATACGTATCTTTCAATTTATATATATATATAGAACAAAGTGAAAGATATACTATAGTTTTTCAATTTTGAACAGTTAGAACATAAAATTTGCCTAATTATCACACTTGATTCTTTCTCATTGAATATCATTTTCAGGTTATTTTGAGTGGAGAAAAAAAAACACAAGAAACATTATTAACATCACAATGAAAGAGTTCTTTGACGATGTTTTCTTTCCCTTTTCTTTTACATTTTCTATTTAAAAAAAAAAAAACTTAGATCCATACTTCCCTCTAAAACCCCCATAGTCCAAGAAAAAGATAGTAATAAACAAGGGACGCATGTTAACAATTCAACCAAACACTGCATATAATAATTCTTTGGGGGCAAAAAAAAAAAAAAGGAAAAAATTGAGAAATTTCAAAAGACAGAAGTAGAAGTTGAACATTACAGAAACTATAAGTGTTTTTTTTTTTTTTTCACTTGTTTTGTTTGTATTTGCGGAAACGTACGGTAGGAATGCGATGGTGCCCTGTTGGTTTCAAATTTGTCTTTTTCAGTAAGACAAAGACAAGTCATGTCTTTCCAGACTGTTTCTACCTTTTTCCTTTTGTATTAGGAAAAATTACGACATATGGTTTCAAGTTCCAACTTCCAAGTGCAGCAGTAGAAAAATTTTGGAAAAAACAAAACAGTGGTGATCAAGGTTGCCCTTCATCGGTAGTCCAGCCTATGATCGATCTTTAAGTTGTTTGAACCAATAATATGAAATCTTCAGGCAGAGATGGTCAGGTTATTCCATAAACATTCTTTGGAGCAACTTGCGACTCACATACGTTTTGGCAAGTGATGGCCAGCTGCAAGTGAACAATTTGATAATCTTACCTTGCATATTAAGCACAAAATTGAACATGATCTCTCCCTGATCTCCATATGATAAGTTTGTGGGTCTCCTATGTATATCACAATAACTTTGGAAATAATATTGTTTAGTCTACATTCGTGCCTTAGCACTGGCTTGTCAATTCCGAAAAAAGATTCAGTATATCCAGTGCATACACATCTTTCCCACATTCAAGAGTCTGGTGCCGAAACTATGTTGCAGCGGCTGAATATGTTTGGAACAAATAAGCCATGATCTTCTTGTAGTCACCAATTTCAGCGCCGGTGTTTGGATCAATCAAGTAAGGCACCTGTATGATAAAAAGGGGAAAGAAAATTCGTGTATCATGCACAGAGTCCCCAAATAATATATGCAAAGAATGCAAAATGAATTTTTTTGTTAGTTATCCTTTCATGGCAAAGGCAAATACTCAATAGATGCATGCATGGGAAGCACAGATAATGGCTATGCCAAGAGGTGCTTCCTAGTAAAGGTTCAAGTTGAGTGTCTTGTAGGGCACTATAACCATTAACCATTACAGGTGGCAGGCATGATGCAGCGTTATGGAAAGAAGAAAAATATATTTCAAGACAAACAAAAAACAGAGAGACTGGCTTAAAAAATGTAAATAACGTACATCTTGGAATCCAGATGCATCAAGTAGTAACTTTTTTCGCAGAGACCCTGTTCCGACATTTTGAAGGATATATGGAAGCTCCAATTCACACAGTGCCTCACGCACAAGTCTTGCATACTATAAAGAAGGAAAAGAAAGGAAGACAAAACACATTATCTACTGCACAAAATTGATGCAAAACTCTTGCTTATTTTGGCTGGGTATTAAAAGGAATAAATGAAAGTATATTACATGTTCTTTTAAGACGTAACATTTATTTTGGCCCGGTTATCTATCTGATAGTTGCAGAACTTAAAAGTTAATCATACGATTAGCCTGTCATCTCATGATAGCAAAATTGGCAGCAGGAATGTAGCTCTTGGAGTATATGCACAAAGCCCAAGAAAATGTTTTTGGAATAATATTCTTCTTGTTTCACGGTAACTTTTCCTCGTCACTCTTTCCTAAGCAAATTAAGTCTTTTCACTGTCAAAAACAGTTCTTAATGGAACTTCAATCAATAATGCAATCTGAAACAGCTAGGATTCTGACTCAAGTTTGACAATCACTAGATTTAAAGTTTTCTATCTGTCAAAAATAAAGTGTTCAGAAGAGAACTAAAGGTACAACCTGAAACAGCTAATAAAATGAGTTTTGAATCCATGAAGAGCTCTTTATGTTTCAAGAAACCAAGTTTTAATATATGAACCAAATAGGTCCTAGCACATGCTATCTCAAACTCAAGAGAAGGAAACTAGTGTTTCAATATACCAGTTACCGCAATGTCAGTTTTATTACTCATAGTCATAGGTCAACAGTGCATGCAAAAACATTTGCTTACCGGATTGTTCTCGTATGAGAAAAGTTCCAATTTCTTGGATGGTGGATCTAGTCTGGCCTTTTCCCACAAGGTCATTCCTCTACCTGCTCGAAGAATTGTTGGCATCCATCCTGTAAACAATGTGCTAGAGAGTATGCCAAGTTAGACAAGGAAAAAGAGAACAGAACCATGACCAATTAAACTACTTTTGAAGACCATTACCTTTCCAAAAGACCCGTTGAGGGGCTTCTACCTTTACCATATTGCTGAAATAGGTATTTCACAATGTCACCTATCAGAACGAGTAGAAAAATAGTGTCACACAACTAGGCTGTGAAAATATGAAACATTCTCCAACAACAATGGCATTGATGACACCATAGAGTTCATGCTATGTCCCCTCACAAAATTTATTACATACATTCAGTGCTCAAAACCATTGACAATGGTGAGAGCATTAATTTTATATCCTTTTTTTTTTTCCTGCCCAAAGGTTTTTGCATTTTAGTACCGAAAAACACAAGAAAAACTTTTCAGGAAAAAAAAAAAAAAACAGAACAAAAGGAAGAAAGCTCTAAGATATACATAGTATATCCATTAATTATGTTCCCATCTCAATTCCTATGCAATTTATTCAAACTCCAAACAAACCCAAAAACTAAAAGACAATGGTCGATAACAGAAGCAATTTAAGCAGAAACCTGATCATCTTTTAGATGATTAACCTATTCTATGCGAAGAATTTACCACAGTCAAATGTGTAATCATTTAAGAGGTTATGCAAATAGGACTCTCATAACATACTGGCTTGACTTCTTAAAGTAAGATGTTTTTCCAGAACTACTATTCTGAAAACCTATTAGATGGAACTTCAAAATAAATCACTTGTTTTTTTTTTTTTTTTTTTTTAATCACCATGCACCGTTGAGGCATTTACATTGGAAATTGGAGAAGCAACAATATCCGGAAGACCAACTGTTTAGTAAATATTAATCTACGCCCCACAACTTGCGCAAAATGATGCTTCATCACTTACCACTTTCATAAATTGAAAGACCAGTGTTTGGGTCAACAAGAAAAGGAAACCTGCATAGAAATTTTAGTGATAGAGCAATGAGAAGCCAAAAAGGAAGGAAGTCATGCAAACATAGCAAGATTCCAACAAATAAACTTCATGCTTGAGCTTCAATAATGCATGTTAGAAAAGGAGGTTAAGAAATCAACCCCATGAAAAGCAACCATCATTCAAATGGCATGTTAAATATGTGGTATGCATTTAAATTTTGCATTCCTGGCAATGATATGAAATCGATCTGATGGTCACGAATCACAACAAATGATAAAAAAAAGCCCAGAGCTTCATTGTGGCTTAGTGCAACAGAAACACAGCTTTTCACAAATTCAAATAAAGCACAACTACATAACATGAAATATTACTGAAGGAATCACATACTGCTCTTTACCACCAATTTTTCTGACTATTTCCCTGTGCCTTACAGAGCCTTTTGGACAAGGATATACCTGTGCATGCATATCAAAGGAACAAATGAGAAAAACTATATGAAAACCATTTTTCAAAAATTCAAAGTTACCGAAACAGGGAAGGGACGTGGGGTGGAACATATAAATTCAACTCCATGTCTATTTTGCCTTTGAAAGATCATTACTAGGTCAAACCCGCACTCAGTGGTAGCAAGCCCCAGACTTTATCATTGTATTCTGTCATTTTTCTGGCCTTTTCACTCTCTACATAGAAAGTGTTACTCAGTGGTAGCAAGCCCCAGACTTTATCATTGAATTCTGTCATTTTTCTGGCCTTTTCACTTTCTCTACATACAAAGTGTTCAAGGCCGATAATGAACAAGATTTAGTAGAATCAGAGGTGGAATTGAATCCAACCTGAAGATAAGACCTTCTTCAGAAACAAACTGCTTTAAAATCCAACTGGTTTTACATCATATTTTCAATCCCATAACTCCATAACTGTGATATACCAATGCAACACAAAAGGTTAAAGTATCACACCACAAACATGGACTTATTATATGATAGGCAGATGGTGTATGATACACCACAAATGCATGTTTAATTAGTTGAGAGGTAAACAACACAAAGCGGATATGCCCAAGAGTCCATGCTGATTGTTCCAGTGTTGCACAAAAATCTAGGAAGTTTTTTTCGAAACAGCATGCTTATTTTATCTTGATTTTCTTTTGGAGCCTAAAGTAAAATGATGATAATTGAGTTCAAATCTTCTAAAAAGATTCACTTCCTATTCTTAATCAGGCTGATCATAAGTTCAGCAGAGGGAGATTAAGAAAAATGTCATGGTCTTCCTAGCCTCAAGGTGGATTGGCTCTTAGGTATGCAACACTGGAAGGAGATAAATCCCATGAAATTGTGAAGGAATGTGCAGTTAGCTTCTAATAGAAAGATAAAATGTGAAGTTTGAGACTTTATTGGGATAATAAGACAGCAATTAAACTTGCCACAAGGCTACAACCTACATCAACATCACAAACAAACCACACTCAAAAAAATAGAAGGTCATTTCTCACCTCTGCAGAAAGATCTAGCTCGGTCATTGCCTCTCGGACCCGCCTGCAAAAGGGGCATGCTTCTGTTCAAAAAGAACATTTGATTTTAATTTGAAAATCCCTATCCTAATAAAACAAGCAATACACTTATTCAAAATATTAAGCCATCACTAATTATAAATGTACCGCATAGCATAGAAACTGGGTTGGAAGCATGCAAGTCCTAGCACATACTAGCACTCTGATGTATAAAGCTACTTAGTCATGGTCAATTTACCTATATCATAGGCGAACATTAAATGTTTAATCTATTGATTATACACTAAAATGGCATAGATCATACGGTTAAATATTGTTGATCCACTTAATAGGAGAAAGAAAAGGTGCATTCTCTACACATCATGCAGTACGAGCAACTGTGTTATTGAAATGCTGACCATGCACTTGGAACAAAACATACCAAATTCATAGAGTTGCAAAGGTTTAGGAGGATCTGAAGGGGTTGTCTCTTGGTTGTTCAAATTCTCCGATAGCGATCTTGATCCCCATGGAAGTCGTGCCAAAGTAGACAAGGAAGAAGTTGCTACCTACTATTAAACAGCAAATACAGATGAATAAAATTGTTCAGAGATTGAAGTATTTCCTAATTCATGCATTCAATGTCTGAAACAGGAAAGAGTGGCAAAATTAAGACTGGTGTATGTAATTTCAAAAACTTCTAATAGAAATTGAGCAGGAATATCAACTAAAACCAACAATAAGAAGGGGATAAATGAGCATTATTGTTAATGAACTGTCTATAGCAAATAAACAGAAAACAGATGCTAAAACAAGGGAATTGTCAGAAGAGACCTCTAAAGTATAATTCCGTTCTCCAGAGGGATCACCTCCCTGCAAGAATGAACAACCAAACCCTAATAAAATGAAGCATGAAAGGATCATGTTACACCCCTATATTTCTGATTGATTATAAGGATTATGTTTAGTACACAATAAGATTTCAATCCCTACAGTAGTATGTATTGCATACACAATAAAAACACAAGTTTTCTTATATAGTGCACATGTATGATGCAACAACAGACAGAGAAAAGATTACAACCTCCATAGCCAAGATCAAGATTTTCATGTTCCAATCTATTTTAGCATATAATATGAGTGTTTCAACATAATCCCAAGTAAAATGGTTAACAAGTGAAACGAAAATGTTGATATCTTTAGTTAGGAGTTGTTGACGACACTTACAGAGAATAGCTTGAGAAGAGGGCAAAGAAAAGACAAGAAACTTGTTGTTGTGGATGATAAACCATCACTTGACGCTGAGACACTTTCCGTTGTATCAGAGTCAGGAGATTTGGCATGAAATCTGTTTCTTAGAGAAACCCGGTTCCCATTGCTGGAGAATCTAAGTGAGTGTTTGTTGTTTAGTGTCGAAACTGCAATTGAAGCGAGTGGGAAAGGAAAATCCCTGGTTGGGGCAAAATTTTGGGGGGAAATGGCGGATAAAGGAGAGGATTTTGGAGATAATAAGGACATGATTATGGTCGGTGGTTGTGATGATGTACTTCACAATCCTATATCTGCTATGTCTGGTTCTACTGAAAGTGGACCAAACAAGGAAGAAACATCACAAAGTGTAGGCCCAGGTAAGGAGATTTTATGCAGAGCAAAAATCAGCTATGGAAACAAGAAAGTGCCAAAGAAAACTTGGCTGATGATTCTCAAAATGAAAATTTGCTCGATAAAATGGCTAATAGCTAACTTAATTTGTAGAGCATCTTGTTGTGTTTACTAAATAACTTGAATCATATATTTATTCCTCAAAATTAATTCTTAATCTAAAGAATCCTTTCCTGTGCTTGGAAATGGGGAAATTTGGAAGAAGAAAAAAAAAAAACCACCCATAATATATAATTAACTTGAGTAAATTATAAATTAGTTTTTCTAGTTTTTATAAACGAATTACTTAGTTCTTTTTTAAAAAAAATAATAATTATTTAGTTTTATATTTTTAACTTTTTTCACTTAATTTTTTTAATTTATTTCAATTTTTCGTTTAAAAAATATATAATTGACATGAAAAAGATGAAGTTTTTTAAATAAATTATATTATTATTTTTTAAAATTAAGTGTAATCAACCCTTGTTAAAATATTAAATAATTAATTTTTGAAATAAAAGATACCAATTCATTTATTTCTAAAAAAATAAAGATAATACTTTATAATTTACTCTAATTAACTTTGAAAATCATATTACTGCAAAGATTGGATCAAACAGATTTTTTTCTCGGGTTTTTAATCCATTTGTAAGAAAATGAATAGCATTGTTTATATTTATATATATATATATATATATATATATATATATTAACTGGTTTTTTACTTATATAATTTTAAGATTTTTTGAAAATTTTTAAATATATTTATAAATTTGATTTACTTTTTTTTTTTTTTTGGTTTTTTATGAAAATTGAATAATCGGTTTTTAGATAGAAATTGAAATTTGATGAGTAAATTATAAATTAGTCCTGAGAAGCAAATTAATTAGTTTTTTTTTTTCAAAAACTAATAACTTAGTTTTCTATATCTTGAATAAGTCAAGAACTTAGGTATTTTATTAGTTTTTTGTTTTTATTGTTGATTTTTATTTTTAAATTATCATTCTTTTGATTTTTTGTTGAGAAGAGAAAAAATAGGTGAAGAAAATAAATAAAACATAAAAAGAGGGTAATTTGAGAAAAAAAAACTAATCACTAATTTAATGAAAATTTTACGAATTTAATAAAAAATTTATAAAAAAAATTAAGTTATTGACGAAATTAAAACAAGAGGTTAAATGATTAATTTTTAAACATGAAGACTAATTAATTTATTTTTTAAAAAAAAGGGACTAATTTATAATTTTCTCAAGTTTGATCGAAAATTTTGGTTTGAGCCAAAAAAAAATCTGCTTCAGATTTTTTTTTTTTTGAGACTGAACAGAATATCAAATTTGATTTTTCCTTCGGTTGGTTCAGAGGGCCCAAAACGTATGCACATCCCTTAATCGTACCAACACGAAAAGGTGTAATAGTTTGAGGATTCAAATGAAACAATTGAAAATTGGACAATCCCGTTTCAATTCCAAAATCTTTTTAAGTCTATAACATTAGTTAATGGCAGGTTTTCGTTGAGGTTTTTGAAACTTCCGAAGTCCAAACACAATTAGTTTCATATATCTGGAAAGAAAACGAGGGGCACCATGTCTCTGTATCAGAGGACTTCGCAGTTACTATTAAGAAGAAATAGAAGAGTAACAAAAGAGCCCTGCGCTCTCATCCCCTCTACTTCTTATTGTACACACATTGACACTAACGCCACTGATGGGCAGCAGAGTTCAAAGGCCAAGATTTTCGATCGCGAGCTCAAACGCAAACAAGTAAAAATCCAACCTTTCTTTACAATTTTTTTATTTGAGCATGTTGGTATCTTTGTTTTTGTGCTTTTTACTTGTTTTACATTCGATATTGTATATCTGCATCTGGGTATTGGTCCAATTGGGGGTGGCTGCAGCGTGACCGAGCTGCGTGGTTGATGAGGCCAAATGATCCATTTGTGGATGCTGTTGCTGAAAATTTATTGGATCGCTTGGAGGTAGTAACTATTCTTTTGTACTTTTCTTTTTAAGGATGTTTAAAATGTTGTAGTATTAAGAAATGGAGGTTTTTATTTATTTTTTTTGAAGTTGTAACTTCTGTCGTGGGGAGTTTGAGAAGCTTAAAGTTTGAACTTTGATGTGTTTTGCGTAGTTCCAGATTGTTTGTTTGTGTTTGGCAGGACTGCAAGAAAAAATTTCCTACTGCCTTGTGTCTAGGAGGTTCTTTAGAAGCTATCAGAAGTTCATTACGTGGTCGAGGTGAGAATAAAATTTAAGACTTTTCCTGCTAATTATGTGTTTCAATAACTGTAGAAGTTAATTTCAAAATTTTTATGGTTGTGTTTCAAAATCTTTGAGACATGGGGATTCGTTACTAACTGAAAAGAGTGAGTGATTATCAGTTAAGAGGTTCACAAGAGGGAGGTGATTCGGCTGAATGAAAGTCTCACTATGCGACATTGTTTATCAGAGATTTTGGCAGTTGATAAGACAATACTTAAAACCTGTTTTTGATGCTCCCAGTCTTCACTTATGCTGTTTTGAAAATGATCGTACACATAGGAAAACTTTAATGCTGTAACCACCTTAAATGTCAGGCTCCATTGAAAAGCTTATTATGATGGACACTTCAAATGACATGGTGAAATCATGTAAGGATGCTCAAGCAGCTCAACGAGATTCAGATCAGAAGATTGAAACGTCCTTTGTGGTGGGAGATGAGGAGTACCTGCCTATAAAAGAAAGGTCTGTGATGTCATCTATCTTGTTCTAGTGAAAAATACTCATTAGGAAGAACTCATTTTAAAATGTGACATTTTTTATTTGACTACGAAGTTCGGTAGATTTGGTTATCAGTTGCTTGGGACTCCATTGGACAAATGATCTGCCAGGAGCCATGATACAGGTATGCACTTCTATAGTGTGACTTTCTTTTTGCTTTAGCATCTTGGCCCTATACACGATATCCTCTAGAATTTGTTGATGCATGCGACATTAGGGAATGGATACCATTAGAATTATTGAGATCAAGGGAAAACAACAGGAGAAAAACTACAATTGATGAAGCATACATGTTTGTGGTGCAGATAGCAAGATATAATAGTGCTTTCTATTCGCTACTCCAAAGGTTATCTTCATTTTAATTGTAACTCCAAAAACTTATTTTATTCTGAGATAGGAGAATAATCTTTGGATAAATCAAGATATATGACTGTAAAATGAGTCCAAAGGTGTGCTTCACTAGCAAATAATTTGACATTTCAAACTGCCAACAGAAGTCTGAAAGTGCATCCACTCTTAATGATAAGTACAATGGATGTCTACAACAACTACACACACAGAACATTAGACATGTGTAACCTTATTGCTCTTCCCTTTATAGAAGTGTTTGGTTGTTATCGTCATGAAATCTCTCTACTTCACTACTTGTCATTTTGTTTGAAATCTTGATGTGGTCATGTCTATGACATTTGTTCATTTCATTGGTTTTCATGACAGTGTAAACTAGCATTGAAGCCAGATGGCCTATTTTTAGCAGCTATTTTGGGTGGAGAAACCTTGAAGTTGTCTCTCACTTTTCTTTTTGATATTTCGATTTAAAGTGAACAGTATGTTAATCCATAAGTTTGGTTGCTAATTTTTCCGCATGCTGACATATGGATAGGGAGCTGAGAATAGCATGCACTGTGGCTCAAATGGAGCGTGAAGGAGGCATTAGCCCTCGAATATCACCCCTGGCACAAGTATGTATGTTGTCGCTTGGTAATTACCATTCCTGAACTTTCTTGATATAAAGGGCATGTATATCCGTAGGGAACTTGAAGTAAACATGATTGTGTTGCATGCGCATATTGGCATTCAACCTGATTTCAAAGAATCTGGTTCTGATGTACTTATAAAGAGTACTTGAGAGGGGAACATCTACCCCCAAAAGGTATCATTGAGCCAATTTCTTTTTACTGTACCATTCAGGTCCGTGATGCAGGCAATCTTTTGACCAGAGCAGGCTTCACCCTTCCCGGAGTTGATGTTGATGAATACGTAGTTAGATATAGCAGTGGTGAGAAAATCTCTCAGAGCTTATAGTTTTACTAGCCAAGCTTGCTAGATGACCTAGGCCAGAACTAAAATGTCTTTTGTTTCTTTAACTGTATTGAATATTATTTTCAGTTATAACATAATGGTTTCATTTGGATGAATCCACCACCTGTTTTCATGGTTACATAGAACTCATTCATTCTTTTTTCCTGTGGTATAGCTCTGGAGCTGATAGAGCATCTGCGCACAATGGGCGAAACTAATGCTCTTCTGCAAAGGAACAATGTAAGACCTGCAGCAATTGAAGTTTTCTCTCTCTTTTCTATATGTTTCCTTGTGCGATTGGTAAAATTGGATAAATCATCAAATCTTATTGGCAATTCTCTTTTTTTTTTTTTTTTTTTTTTGAATGAAAACAGGTCCTGAAGAGAGAAACAGCCCTTGCAACTGCAGCAATTTACGATTCAATGTTTGCAGCTGAAGATGGCACCATCCCTGCAACATTCCAGGTGAGATTGTGGAACAGCTGAGAATGTTTATCTGATTGGAGAAAGAATATATCAATGATGCTAAGAAACTATAAGCCTTTTTTCCGCTATCTTACAATACTAAGAAAGCTATAATGAAAAATGCTTCATACAATGCTAAATTAGTTCAGACCAAAGTTCAAATTCTTTTTCTATAACATATTAGTGAGATAATCAAAATAAACATTAGTCTTTTCTGAGAACCTGTATGCTCGAAGAAAGAATTGCATAAAATCATAGGCTCCATGCCTCCCTTCCCGCTAAAAAAATCTCCATGTAAGCTTTCGGGCTTTTAGCTGATAACTGAGAGGGCTATCACATTTTCAACTCATTGAACACAGAACTAAACAAATAGCCTCTTGTCAATTGGTTGAAGTATGACATTTGTCATAATTATTTGGTCACTGCTTTTGCACTTGTAGGTTATATATATGACAGGGTGGAGGGAGCACCCCTCCCAGCAGAAGGCCAAAAAGAGGGGATCTGCTACCATATCATTTGATGACATCCAGAAGCAATTTTCCAGTGGTAGTTGACATCATCGCATTCCTCAAGAGCAACCAGTAGCAAATTGGTAGTGAGATACTCTCCCTCCCTAGGCACCTTGTTCAGATTCTTTTTTATAGCATAATGGCTTCAGATTTATCAGCAGCAGTGAACCAGATGATAAAAAGGACGAGTGCAAGGCTGGTGCCTTTGTCGGATAATCTGAAATTGTTGTATAACGGTCTTTCTGCATAAAGTGCAGTTTTTGTTCGATCATCTGAGTAGTCACCTTTTGATTTTGTTGACCATCTACAAATGTTGTCTCACAATCTGCTATAAAATTATCTGTTCCTTTTCTAGCGTGCTACAAGGAAAGCTCATTTGTAAAGGGCACAAAGTTGCCTGCTTCTTGTTATTGTACGATGAGTTGTTGACCAAGCCTGATTTCATGAAATTGAAGATCCGCACCAAGGTTCTCCCCAGAGTCAGGGCCAACCTTGTTTATTTTGGCCTGTATAATAGCCTGCCTTATACCCCAAAAAAAAAAAAAAAAAAAAAAGGGAGCCTATCCAATCATTCTCGTTTCACCTAAAACTAAAAGCTATCGCCTATACGCCAACAAAGAACCACCAGTGCTAATTTAGGAAGGAGAATCCTGGGATATGGCAGGCAGAGACCACAAGGGGAGGAAGAGAAACCGGCTAGTGCTAGCGGAGGAAGCAATCATGGCTCACTACCCAATCCATACTTTAGTCCCTTCTACCTCCCGAAGGGTACTCCATTCCTCGATAAAACGGAGGGGTAAACCATCATTTAGATAGATTTTTGGAATCTTAAAAGTCGAACTCTTATCATCTTAAGAATGTAGGTTTATTCGTACCCCAGGAATGTCTTTTACTATCACGCTTCGTCTTCAGTTCACGAAATGGCCAGCGGATTTGAGGTAAACAAGAGGACAACTTCACCCACACCACCCACCACCCAACCCCCACCACCCCACCGCGGGGTCACTTCTTCCCATCATAAATGGAGCTGAAATCAGTTCCAGTTCACTCGGTGCCAATGACAACCTTGATTACTACGGAATAGAATGGTCATTAAGAATTATTTGAATACTTACAAGAACCAAGCATTTCCTGGACAAGGTCACTAATAAGAGGCCACTTGATCACATTTTGCATCTGTTGTTGCTTAAAGTTGAGAATAATATAAGATACGACAGAAGTATTTATCCAAATTCACCAGGATGTCATTAGGAAATGGGCAGAAGGGAGAATGATTCTTTCATCCAACTCCAAAATGAAAATAGTCCAAATATTTGCCTGCTGCTACAGATGCCAATACACCATCATTTTGCACGTTATTAAAAAGTTACCATAAACCTGCTATGCGTCAGAGTAGATTCAAGACCAGCAATAGCAGATATGGAACTGTTCATGCAGTATTGATATCACAACGTATCAAACCAAAAATTATCATTAGCAAACTGGGCCATTGGTAATCCACCAAACATTCGGAAAATAGACATAATAAGCTAAAAGAATTGAATGTAAAGTTTGCCAATTATGGCAACTCTTCCGAAAGCACAATGACTAGCAATGCTCATTGTATAGCATAGTCTACTTTATTGGTAAAAAAATATTATCTGATCTGTGGGAAGCAATCTCCAATAACTGCAAAATGGGGAGGCAAAAAGCTTAAGATGCGGTAGACTGCTTCAAGTATGCAATGAGATCAGCACGGTCCTGTGGCTTCTTCAATCCAGGGAAAACCATCTTTGTTCCAGGGATGTACTGCATAAACAAATGTCACTTGAGTCAGCAGAGCAGATTAACAAAACAAACCAGATATAAGAGGCATGTATGCAGGTGTATATACATGAGTTCTTCATCTGTATCTCAGAAAGTCAGATGATTTATACCAACTAGGCTATCTTATCACATTGAAATGAAATGTGAAAATTCATTTCACACGCCAAAAATCCAAGATTTTGAACCTTTGTTAAAATTAATATCATTGATGATGGATCAGATATTTTGAACCTTTGTTAGAATTAATATCATTGATGAAGGAGAAGCTTTACTAACTTGATAGAAAGTGACAGAGTTCAACTATCAGGAAGGAAATATCACAAAACTTCAATGAATAAACAATCCATACTTCTTAAACCAGTTTTAAGGTGCACTGTCAATGCAACAAAATTATTAACTCGTATACTCTAGAGCTGATTAATACCTTCTTGGGGTTGAGCAAGTAATCATACAAAGTCTTCTCCTCCCAAATGACAGCCCTGTTCTTGTTAGCAGCAGAGTAAGAGTACCCAGGAGCTGTTCCTGACTGCCTTCCAAACAAGCCATTCAGATTGGGTCCTGAAAATTTCAATCGTTGGAAGCCAATTAAAACATTAAAAACACAATCAGTCCTATACAACTAATTTTAACACAATCCCTGAAGCAATTGATTATCTAAAATGTTCGCTCATTAAATACCAGATCCCAAATCCCAAAAAGCATCATAATCTAAAATATGAACACCATCCCAAAATCTTAACAACATTTCAAAGACAACTAGATTAAAAAAACAGCTCAATCCCATAAAAATCCTCTTTGCTTAATTAAATCATTTCTAAACCCAGCATCCACCTCTCGAAGGGAATCACAATTTTCTTGCAAAAACTTTAAACCCATAAAAGTTAGCTTTGCTTAATCAAACCCATTTATAAACCCAGCTTCCATCTTCCGCGAAAATCACGATTTTCTAGCAAAAACCTTAAACCCTTTAAAGAAAAGAAAAAAAAACCCAGAGTCTGTCCAAAGAACTTCATCTTTTAGAAACAAATAGAAGCTCAAAATCAGACGACAAAAATTAAATATTTATTTATATATTAAAAACAGACCAGCTAAATAGATTAGATCTATAAATAATGCGACCAGAAAAAATAATAATCAACAAAATAACCGACAATCAAAGCCAAATTGACCTAAGAATGTCCAGATCCAAACAAGACACAGCTAAATCAACTGTAATACAAAAATAGAGAGAAAGAAAGTGAAAGAGTTACCTTGCTTGTGACCGGCACCTTTGTCGACGGTATGACACTGAGCACACTTAGTCCTAAAGGTCTTCTCTCCGGCTTTAGCATCGCCAGGTGGTGCTTCTTCAAACGACGCCATTTCTTGTGTTTTTCTTTGCTTCGATTTCTGCAAGGGAAGAGGAAAAAAGCGTTTGTTGGGTTTGATTTATAGAAAGGAAGGAGAGAGTTTTTAGGGTTTTGTTTGGCGTAGGACTACTACTTCATTTAAGAAGAATATTCGAGAGCAGACGAGGGAACGCGGTGTGCCAGCCACACACCCCCGAAACCAAGAAAGAAAATTCAAACTTGAGTTCTACTTGTTGACGTGGCGCAGTTTTAATGGTTCTTAGTTGGGGTCTTTTTTGGAAAAACATTGGAGCATATCAGCATACTGTAAAGTTGATTGTATTATATTTGTGCTTTTAATTCTTTTACTTAATGCGATTAATAAACTAGCTTCACCAGTTCAAAACGATTGGGTTAAATATAAAATGTTTTAATCGCTTAAACAAGTTATTTTGAGTCCAAATATTTATATATGTTAAAAATCATTTTAGATAATTATTTTTATTTTATATGAATAATAAAATAGTGATGAATTAATCATAATTTTGATTTAAAATACTCTATAGATCCAAAACAGAAAGAAAAAACTAGATTCACCACTCAAGTTGAGTAAATTAGTCCTTTTAGTTTCAGAAAATAATTAATCAATCTTTTTTGTTATTTTTTATTTTATTTTAATTTTTTATTTTAAAAAATAGAAAAAATAAATAAATAAAAATATAAAAAAATTGATGAGAAAAAATTTATTTTATAAAATAAAAAATATTAAATAAGTCGTGACTAACATTAGTTAAAAGAATTAAATAATTAATTTTTTAAACTAAAAAATTTAATAATTCATTTATTTCTCAAAACAACAAGGATTAATTTATAATTTACTCCATTCAATTTTAATATTCCATAAGCTTAACCTTTTAACTCAAACTTAAAAATCAAGAAGGTGGACGTAAAGGATATTGAATCCACAGCTTCCCAATTCCACTTATACTGCAGTAGATTTTTATGGGAAAAGGGGTTAAGATAGAGAAAAGGAATCATCATTTAATTTTAAAGAAAATTAAAATCCAAAACTATATATAAAAGCATGAAGGCAATAACAATATTATAATACACTACCAATACTAAAAGGTAAATTCAATTTCATATTTAATTAAGAAAAATATTGATATTACTAAAAACATATAAAAGTTATTAATTCCTAACAAATAGGCTATTTCTGTAAAGAAAGCAAAAATATAGGTTAATCCTTTTTTTTTATCCACCACATAAAACAAACTATTTAAAGTGCTCCTATATAATATTATATTGGTATTTTATTTTGACTATTGTAACTCTAAAGAATACTTCAAAACAAGCTAATAAAAAGCATAAAGTTTTAAAATCTAAACACACTTAAATTACATTAAAATTCATTAAATTATTCAAATGAATCATTAGTTAATTTTTTATAGGTTATTTTTTGGTTATTAAGTTATTTTTTACTCTTTTGGAGATACACTAATAATATTTAAAAAATTATTAAATAATGACAATCACTCCGTAATAAATTGAATAAATTATTTTAAATACCTTATAATTTAAGAGCAGAAACACACTCTGCACTTTTATTTTTCATAAATTACAATTTATACTTTATGTATTTAAATTTTATTACGGCTAACACCCAGTATTTTAATTCTATTAGGAATCTCAAATTTCTAACTAAAAAAACGTTTAAATTATTATAAATTTGCCTTTAAATTTTGATGATACTCAGAATGTACTCTACGAGAAAATTTAAAAGAACAATGAAAGCTCAGTTTGAAAGTCAACACTGCAGGCTGTTTGCATAAAGACTAAAAGGTAGCTTGCTACATCATTTTTACATCGTCGCACACTGAAGAAAAAGGCTTTAACATGTCAAGATTTTTCCTTTTTCCTTCAATTTCACAGCAATTGAAAAAGGACATGACAAAATTATCCCTCTCTCCTCCCATTTTCTTATCAATCAAACAAATAATAATAATAAATAAATAAGTAAATCCTAATATTGAATGCCAAAAAAAATGAACTCCAAATTTTGCACAAAAACAAAAGGATAAAAAAAAACCCAAATAAATTTAAACATGAATAAATGAATAAATAAAATAAAGAATGAAACAGCCAAACTTTACAAGAAATTAAAGAAAAAAATCCACCTATCTATACCTTCAATATCCAAAACATTATCTATAAAAGAACTCAATTCTTTATTGTTATTGTCATTATTCTCTTCAACTTCTCTACTCCCCACTTTACTTTTTCTTTCTTCTTTCTATTAGTTTTTGCATGGAAATAGCTTTCTCTCAATTTGAAAAGAGATAAACGAAAAAGAAAGGAAAGAGTTGAGAGAGAGTTGCATGGAAATAGTGTTTAACTAGCAATTATCGATTCTCTCTCTCCATATATATATATATATATATGAGTATTTTTTTACTCTATCTTCGTCTGAACTTTCATCGCCAAATATTTAAAACATAAAGTGTACTTTATGAAAAGTGAATGTGCAAAGTGTTCTTGTCATCAAACTACATAGTATTTATAGTAATTTATCCTAATAAAATATATTACTACAAATAATCATATGATAATGAACAAGTATTATCAAACAATTAATACTTGTTTATTGAAAGAATATTTACAAATGTTAATATGAGTTACAAATGTCAAATGGTTTAATAGCAAATTTTACTTCCATTTTATTGCGATTTAGCAATTTCGGACCCATCATACTAAATCGTATAATTTGAATCTCAAAATATTAAAAATTAAGCAAATGTTATCCAAATTATTCAATTTTTATCATGTATAATGATCAATTGGGTTGATCATAATTTGAAATGGCAAAACGATTTTGTTTTGGCATTTCATTGTCAATTATTTTTAAAAAAAATTAAAATCATTACTACAAATAATCATATGATAATGAACATGTATTATCAAACAATTAATACTCGTTTATTGAAAGAATGTATACAAATGTTGATGTGAGTTACAAATATCAAAATGTTTAATGGCAAATTTTACCTCCATTCTATTGCGATTTAGTAATTTCGGATCCATAGTAATAAATCGCATAATTTGAACTCCAAAATATTAAAAATTAGGCAAATATGATCCAAATTTCTCAATCTCTCGTTATGAGTAATGATCAATTGGGTTGACCATTACTTGAAATGCCAAAATGACGTTGTTTTAGCATTTCATTGTTAATTATTTAAAAAAAAACATTTTAAAAAATCATGACTACAAATAATCATATGATAATGAACATGTATTATCAAACAATTAATACTCGTATATTGAAAGAATATATGCAAATGTTAATATGAGTTACTAATATCAAACGATTCAATGATAAATTTTATCTCCATTCTATTGCAATTTAGCAATTTCAAACCCATAATACTAAATCACATAATTTAAACCCCAAAATATTGAAGATTGGGCAAATTTGATCCAAATTACTCAATCTTTGTTATGTATAACGATTAGGTTAGGTTGACAACTACTTGAAATGCTAAAACGATGTCGTTTTGGGATTTCACTATTAACTATTTAAAACACCATTTTAAAAATATTTTTAACCCCTTAATCTTGAGTTTTTTTTTATTTGAACTTTTTTCTTATAAATATTTTATAAATTATACAAAAAAAATATTTATAAATATTTTAAACCCCTTAAGTTTGAACTTTTTTAATTAAAATATTATAAACATTCTATAATTTTTTATAATTTATAAAATTAGAAGGGTTCATCCTTAATTATGCTCATTTTAATTTATAAATTTTTTTTAAGACCTAAAATTGTGTATTTTAATTTTTTTTATAACAATACTTTATTAAAATAAAAAGCTTTTTTAAAAAAGTTCAAAATTAAGGGGTTAAAAATATTTGTAAAATTTTTTTATATAATTTATAAATTTTTTATAATATTTTATAAGCAAAAAATCTTTTAAAAAGATTCAAATTATGGAGGGTTAAAAATATTTTTAAATTTTTTTAAAATATAATTAATATCAAAATACCAAAACAATGTCGTTTTTGTATTCCAAGTAATAGTCAACCTAGTTGATCGTTACACATAACAAAGAGTGGACAATTCAAATCATATTTGCCCAATCTTCAATACTTTGTGATTCAAATTACATAATTCAATGCTATGAGTCCAAAATTATCAAATTACAATGGAATGTGGACAAAATTTATCATTAAACCCATATATATATAAAGTCATCTCAAGTGTTATAACTCATTTTTGACCCCTCACAATTATTTTAGATCTTTTTACAAATATCTTTTTATTTACATAATTAGGCTTCCCATGAATTTTTATTTTGGTTTATTTTTATTATTATCTTTTAATTTTGGTTTATTTTTTTATTATTATTTATCATTTTTTCATAAAAAGAAGAAGAAGAAGAATGAAACAAAAAATTAAAGAAAAGAGAAAATGAAAAACAAAAAGGAAAAGAAAAGAAAAAAAAAGAAAAAATTAGAATTAATTTAGGATTTTATTGCTAAGGGTTTTAATTGTAATTAATTTAAAATTTTGGTGGGTTAATGTCAAAATATTCAAAATTTCAACCCACTTGCCATACGAGGCAAGATTTGCGGGACCGAGTGTAATATCGTTGGATGTATCCATTTGAAAGGTAATGATATTGATTTATAGTGTTAAACAAAATGATTTTGTAATTATTTATCATTAACCAACTTAATGTTTTAGGTATCTTTGAAAGCTTAAAAGCAATATAAGTAAAGTGAAAGTGGAATGATCAATATGCAATACATATTTAGTTGAAGAAGCATCTTTGTTTTTTTTGCACTAATTCGAGCTTCATATGAATACCATCCATCGAAAGTGCCGCATGATATTGAGTGTGGTGTAGAATCGAGTGATCGCATTGGAGGGATGCTTTCCATATTCAAATATCATGGTTGACCAATTAGTCAAGCCATAACATAGAGGTTAATAAAAGAAGAGAGTAAAGTAGCCCATCAATATATATTATTGAAATGTCATGTCGAAGATAGGTGGTGCCAATGCTAGCCCATCCAAGCATACTAGAGGGTTCATCTCTTTGATCAAGCATGCTAATCGTTTGGTAAGTACTATATTATCCATTGTGTTATAATTAATTTTTTTATTTATTTCATCTCATATTATTTTTTTCATCATCATAAATTGGATCATAACCCAAATCCTTACGAGTCGTTCATGACCACTCACAAGCAAAATGATGGGACATTTGTCGATAGGCGATTACAAACGATAATGGTCAAATTTTATATATATTTTTTAAAATATATGTACATATACCAATATAATCTAATAAATATATTTATAATTTAATATTACTATTATTTTAATAACTTAGGATTACGTGCAATCAATACAAGAAGCGAGTTGCTAAAGAACGGTTAGAAGGGTGATGCATCATTTAAAGATCTCGATATGTCCAAGATATAGTTTGATGTTATCGGAGGAGAGAAGAAGTAGAGAGTGTACGACATTGAAACTTATGTTTCTCGGTGTTACTTGTAGTCTTGCGCCAACACCTCCTCATAACTTTACGAGTATCCCGATAGTAATATCTAGGAGGTTTTTGCCTAGTACGAAGATCGGATCAAAGGGATAAAGGCTACTATTTAGAAATAGGTGGGGTTGTTAGAAAACCTCCAAGCAACCTCTACTCCTCTTGCTAACCCTCCCACGACCCAACGATCAATCATTCCTCTTAACAACTAGCAACCTGGAAAATGATGTAAGCCATCATTGATTTTTTAAAATAAATTATCATTTACTAATAATTGTAACAACAAATAAATATAAATAATAACTTATTAAGACACATTATATTATTAAATAAAATAAAAAATATATTAATTGAAATAAAATAAATATATAAATATGTTAAGATGCATAAAAGTATTTAAAAAAAATTAAAATAAGAAATTTAGTCCTTATTACGGAATAGAGATGAAAATTACCGACATATGACACTCAATCGTTAAATAACGATGAAAATAGGATCAGAATTGCAAGGATATTATAAACAAAAAAAAATATCAATTGTACAATCCATTGCTATTTAGTGACAAAAATAAGTGAAAATGGTGACGGGTACGAGACGTTAAAGACGACCGATTTAGAATCATTTAGCGATGGAATATCAATAAAATAGCGATAGACAATTCGTCACTAAATAACAATGGAAAAAACTTATCATCACAAAAAATAGCAACCACTACTTTAACGATGGATTGAATTTTGGTTTTAATCCGTTGGTAAAGCCATTTAGAAATAGATTTGCTAGATTTCTAGGAAATAGCAATAGAATGATTCATTACTATTTTCTAAAATTTTTGTAGTGAACAAATAAGAATAGTTAGGGGGCATAATTGAATGAAATTAAGACAAAGAAGGATCGAAATTGAAGAGAAATCAAATCATGCATGGAGATAATGGCAAAACATTTTAAAAAATAAGGATTAGCTTAAATATTTCAAAAAACATTGTTATTTTAAGACGACTTAAGGCACTATTCATTGTCTTCCTTCTTAGTTCCTTTGCATGCCATTTTCATTTCTTTTTCTTTTTTTTTTTTGATTTTTTTTATCTCCTTTTATCTTTTTTCTATCAACTTGCTTTTGCTAAATCTTCCACCTTTAACACACCAAACAAAAACCCCTAGGCCATGTCTTGTCCTTTTCAACCTTGATTCCCAGCATTGTTGTAACTTACATAAATATATTAATAGTAACAAAGAAAAAAAAAAGAGGAAAACAATCTAAGAAGGAGTAGGGTTGATGACAAAACAAAATAAAGGGAAGGGCGAGGATCAAAAGTTATGGGGTATATAAATAAAAGTTTAATTGGAAAAGGGGAGGGGCTCTTTTTAAGGCTTTAGGTTTCTTTTGGTTTTTTCGGTTTTAGAGGGAGCAAGACTGAAGAAATAAAAGATGAAAGCAAAAGATAGGCAGAAAGAGTTTTTGAGATAACTCTCTATTGGAAAAAAAAAACAGGAGGTTTTAAAAAGGGAGAAGGGTTTTCTTTCTAGAAAGGAGTCAATCTAGGTTTTTTTTTTGTTTGTTTTTTCGGGGTTTGGAGGAGATTTTTCTATTTTGGACAACCTAGAAAGCAAAGATAACGAAACTAAAAGGAGTGAATTATTTTTCATTTAGCTAAAGAAAAAAGAGGGAGAGATAGAGGAATAAAAGAGGTGACCAAGAGAAGGAGACGAGAGAACTAGTGCAATTTAGGAATTTAGGTTTTTAAGAGAAAATAAAAAGAAAAAAAAGTTTGGTCTTGAGCTTTTCTCCTTGTGCATTATCCATTTACGCCTAAAGAAGCTTCAAAAGGTAAAGATTTCTCATCTATATCTTTTCTTTCTCTATCTAAAAAGCTCATCATAGGTTTAAAGTAATGGGTTGATTTTTTATTTTTTATTTTTGGCATAAACTCCATAAGTATACGAGGGAAGGGATGGAATTTTAGAGGCTAAAACCCACACAAATAAAAAATAAAATGAAGCATACATTTTAATTCATGTTTCAGCCATTAACATTGTTTATGCATTTTGTGGCTTTGAAACATAAGGAAAGACAAGTCTTTTTAAATCAATATCCTTATAGTTACATGATTCTCACAATCGGGTCCCTAATATGAATGATTTAGGGATGAAATTGACAGAGTTTTAATCTTAGGGCTAGTTTTGGTTTGTTTCATTTCGATGACCCTACTTTAATTATTTTAATTTAGAATTTTTAGAGTCAGTACATATACTTTTCTTTGGTATGTGTTTTAAATTTCATAATTTTAAGATCTCATTTACCATTTATTTGTTATTTATTTAGTATTCTTCCATTTATCTTAATTATTAGTATAGTTTATCTTTTGAAATTTAATTATTTAGTCTAGTATTTTATTTTATTTTAATTTAAAATTTTTAGAATTTGTACATATATTTATCCTTTGGTTGTGTTAAAATTTTTATAATTTTAAGAGTTCATCACTTGTTTATTTGTCATTTATTTATTATTATGTCATTTATCTTAATTATTATTGTGATTTGTTTTGGAATTTAATTTTTAGGTCAAGTATCTTTAATGATTTTAATCTAAAATTTTTAAGTTTGTACATATGCTTGTCCTTAGCTTGCATTGTAATTTTCATAATTTTAGAAGTTCATTTGCTATTTATTTATAACTTATTTACAATTCTACTATCATTTTAATTATTAATGTGATTTGTCTCAAAATTTAGTTTTTAGGTCCAGTATCTTTAATTATTTTAATTTGATAGTTTTAGGGTTTGTACATATGTTTTTTCTTGGCTTGTGCTTTAATTTTTATAATTTTAGGAGTTCATTTTCTATTTATTTGTAATTTATTTTGAATTCTACAATGTTAGTCTCAACATGTAGATTAAAAATTATAAAAAAAGAGAAAAAATAAAAATTGCATAAGATAAATGCAAATCAATTTTAAACACTTTTAGCTAATTAAGTCATTCCTTGACATATTGATCATGTTAGAATGTAATCGAATTCGATACTAAAATAACAAAACTCCTAATTTTGGGTCCAACATCAATTTAATATGATGTTGTGATAAAAAATAAAATTAATTTGACCTAAATGATAATTAAGCTTGGAAATATACTTATAAATATTTTTAAAAATATAATTTTTAGGAGATGTTTTTTGGAGTAGACTAAACATGGAACATTTCCTAAAAAAAGATGCTTTTTGATAATTGTTACTTTCTAAAAATATAGCTAACTCCTTACCTAAAATCTCCGAATCTATTGTCATTTTTAGATTTTTAATTATTTTTAATACTAGGTGGCGACTTCAAAATATTTTTTCTTAATTTTTTTCCATTAGAAACATTAAAATTTTAGAAGTTCCCTAATTAACGAGTAGTGACATCAAGGATGGAGAACGATGTGGGAACATCGATGAGGCAATAGCAGCTTCAAAGGGTATGATAAAATACCCTCAAGCAAAAACTCAAGCACATAATATATATATATATATATATATATATATATATATATATATATATATATATATATATATATATATATATATATCCAAACAAATATAATGATCACTAAAAATGATAATCATGGCATGACATGACAAGTGGCACCACACATACCATTACAAAGGACTCGTAGGTGGTAAGGTCCTTACCATGGTAGAAGACTAGTCAGCATAACCAATCTTATTTACTGGTTAGCACAACCAACGGGGTTGCAAGACATCATCGAGCTGCCACGAAACACATACACTCACGGATTTTTATTTGAAATTTAGAGATTTATTTTTTATATATGCACGGGGATTTTTCTTTGAAATTTAGGGTTTTTTTAATAAAAAAACGCATATTTGATGGTGAGTGAAATTTCCTTGATATCTTTTGTTCCCATCGACATATGAGAACTTTTGAATAAAAATAGTTAAAAACAATATGGAGTCACCACTTGGTATTTTCTAGAGTTCTATAAACCTAAAATAACACTAGTTTTAGAAAATATGGTTATATAAAACGAATATAACAATCACCCTTCCTAATAAAAGTTACCTTACTTGTTTTTATTCCTTATAAATCATTATTTTATGAGTTTGTTTCAAGTATATTTTCAATTTAGGTCCATGTGAAGTTAGAATTAATTTTTCACATTTATTTGTTCAAGCCTTTAGAATCTAAAATGAGCAATGCTTGAAAAATAGGCTCGAAGACCTATTTTCAATTATTATTATTTTTGGGTCAAGACTCAAAGTAAACTTTTAGGGGTTTAGCATCATTAGGTCCAATTACAGTTTTTTGATGATCTTGCCGATTAAAAAAGATAAATAAATTATTACAAATCTATTATGAAAATTACAACTTTGATGGGATGGCAAATACATTAACCAAGAAGAATAAAATTTATTGAATTATTTGTGGTGTCTCATTAAATTACCATCGAGTTATAAACCAAGAGTTTTGGTAATTTAATATCGAGTCCAATCAATTTCTAATATACTTTTATACGTGAAAAAATATGTCAAAAATATAAATGATGCAAGGATTTGATGCACAAGGAATTATAACACAAGGACAAAAAAAAATTTATCTAAAGGTGAATTTAAATACACAGTATTTGGCATGTGTAAATTAAATGCAAAGCATTCCATGTAAAAATAGAGAAATGGAAACATATATTTGTGCTAACTGAAATAGAAATTATTTATTGCAAATATAAAAATGCATGTCTAATTAAAAAAAAAATGAAGCCATTGAAAAAAACTTAATCAACCACACACACACACACACACATTAACTCACACATCTATATTAACTCTTGTTATATTGAAATTAGGGGTGCAATTGATGGACTTTATATCAGACTATCAAAATAAAATAAGGCTATAAAATCATGAACTAAACTTAACAAAAAAATATATATATAGAAAATGGGCATTCTACCTAGTTTTGTTGTATTTTTTCCGATGATTTTTGCCTTGGTTTTTAACCATTTTTTTACCTTCATTAATTCATATTTTTTGTTCAGAAGTAAATCCTCCTTGAACCTCATCCCACAAGAGGGGTAAGAAGAGGGGGAAAGAATGGCCAAATTTTGACCAAAATTTGAGTTAAATGGTCGACCAAATGAGGGGAGGGGTCAAAACTAGCCATAACACATGAAAAACTAAGAGAAAAACACTTAACTAACAAACCAACAAAAACTAAAAAAACATCACCATTTCGAACATGAATTTAATATAAATATATAATGAAAATCAATAAGGATATACCAACTAAAGAATTGAATTGAAAAAAAGGCAACAGTGGTGGGAGGAATGACGAGGAAGGTTGGCGTAAAGTTGAGATCTCCAAACCAAAAAATGAACTTCTTAATCTACTATATGCTTCTTTTTTGCATCCAAAAATCAAAGTAAACTCTATCTATATCTTTCTTTATTTTAGAATTGAATCCCCCTCCCCTAATGACCACTAAGAGCTGTCTAATATAGGCTAAGGTAAATCATATTTTCTACTTTCCTTTTTGCTTTACCCTTTAGTTTTTTTCACCCTCTCAGTTTAATTTTTTTTCTCCATCTTCTTTACATATCAAGGTTTTTTTTTTTTTTTTTTAACTTACCTTAGATGTGAAGGGGTTTTCTTTGTGCCATTAATGCATGCGTGAGTGAGAAAAGAAAAGGCTATATTTTCATCATGATTTTGTCAATTTCGTGCCTTTTTTTTGGCATTATTAAGAGTTGTCTTTTTTTTTTTTATGCATGAACAATACTTTTTTTTTTTTTTTGGACAAGATAAGAAGAATGCGAGAGGGAAATGACTATCATTCTTCCATTGAAATGAAGAGGAGGAAAAAAAGACGAGAAGAAATAGAAAGGAAGTAGTGAAAATGCCAGTGTGAAACCCTAGGTTACTTATTTTTATTTACGCCTTAACCAAAACAACATCATTATTTTTTAATTTGACCGTTATAATTTTCTACCTTTTTTATTTCAGTCATTGGTCTTTTCATTTTTCTTGATTGTGCCTCTCAATTGGCAATTCTATTCGATTCTTTTATATATATATATATATATATATATATATATATATATATATATATTTCAATTTCACTCCTTCATCTCTTTTCTTTTATTCTTTTTTTTTTTGGTCCGTTTTCTTTTTATTCTCTCAATTTTTCCTTTGAGCTTTCTTAATGTTTTTCGATCCTCATTCTTTTTTATTTATTTTTTGATTTCTTTCAATTGTTTTTTTTTTCTAGATTTCTTTTAGTTATTCTTCCTTTAGTATTTTTTTTTTTTCAATTTTCTTATGGCCTCTCTTTATCTCAACTACTCTTCCCAACATCGGGAATAAAAATACCAGTATGTTTCAAAATCATAAAATACCTAAAAAATATATAAAATAATTATAGAAACTATATATCATATTTTTTAAAAGAATTTTAGAGGCTAAAAAAAGGGGAGGGTGTATTTTCGCCATGATTTTGTCACTTTGGTGCCTTTTTTTGGCATTATTAAGCGCTGTTTTTTGTTTTCTTATGCATGGACAATATGTTTTTTTTTTTTGGTATTTGACAAGGTAAGGAGCATGTGAGAGGGAAATGACTATCATTATTCTACCGAAATGAAGAGAACAAAAAAAAAAAAAAAAAAAGATAAGAAGAAGAAGAGAGGAAGTAGTGAAAATGCTAGTGTGAAACCCTAGGTTACTTATTTTTATTTTCATCTTAACCAAAACGACATCGTTCTATTTATTATTTTTTAATTTGATCATTATAATTTTTTACCTTTTTTATTTCAGTCATTAGTCTTTTCATTTTTCTCGATTGTGCCTCTCCATTGGCAATTCTATTTGATCCTTTTTCTTTTTCTTTTTCTTTTTTAATATTTCAATTTCACTCCTTTGTCTCTTTTCTTTTATTCTTTTATTCTTTTTCTTTTTTTTGCTTTGGTCTTTTTTCTTTTTATTCTCTCTGTTTTTCCTCTAAGCCTTTTTAATTTTTTTCGATCCTCATTCTTTTTTATATTTTTTTCTAGATTTCTTTAAGTTGTTCTTCCTCTAGTATTTTTTTTCAATTTTCTTATGCCCTCTCTTTATCTCAACTACCCTTCCTAACATCGAAACAAAAATACTAGTATGTTTTTAAATCATAAAATATCTAAAAATATATAAAAAAAAACTATAGAAACTATAATCATATTTTTTAAGAGAATTTTAGAGGGCAAAAAAAAAAAAAAAAGTTATGACATCCTTAATGAAACATCTTGGGTTTAGGAGGTTTAATGCAAGCTGTAATTGTTTTTAATTTTTTACATAAGAAGGCTCTTAGCAAGCTTGAAAACTTTTATTATTTATTTATTTATTTATTTTTCATATTGGTAGGCTCATGGCTAATCTATTGCACTTGATATACAATTGAAACTCACAACAAGTCTACGACGAGTAATTGTTAAGTTAATTTTTATAACTTTATTTCTCTTTCTTATTAGATATACATGATTGTACTAATATCTTTGCTCGCAAAGTTGTCCGTATAGAGAGTTAAGTACACATGTTTGATTTTTTGTCAAAAAATTAATAAAGTAATTTACCTAATTTGTTTTGTGCTAATTCATTTTTTTGTTTTGTTTTGTTTTGAAATGGGTCCAAATTACATAACAAATAGACTATATTGAGGATAAGTTTCATCCAACACAAGATATTAAATTGCGTAATGATGGATACATGTATTTTAGTAGGGCCAATGTCTATATCTTATCTTTAAAATGCATTAAGGAGCAATGCTTGATGGGACTAGGATAGAGTCTTTGAAAAAAAGCTCAATTATTAATTTTTTCAACTTTTACTAGTAAATTGAAGTAATTTAATTCAAAAGAACTTGGTTTTTTTTTTTCCATTCAAATCTATCTAAATACGGATGACCTAACATATTGCTAGTAGTTAATGACTATCTTCATTTTATTATAAATACTAACCTCACATTAATTATGAGAAAATTCTAACTTTTTTTATCTTTAGAATCTCTAAAAATTTTCTCTCTTCTTTCAAACCTCTCCTATTTACATGCTAGATATCACCTAAAACCTTGTCTATTGGGGTCTTGACCATTCATCTACTATCACTTGACTTGCATTTTGCTAATGTTGCTTGCTCTTTTTCGTATGTCTCTTACTACTTGCATCCATTCTATTTGGTTGGTTACCATTATTTATATAAATCACAAAACTAACTCTCTACATCTAAACTGGTTTGCTTGACTAATCATTTGATCAATTCTTAAAAACTCCCCTAAGACAAATAAATAGATAAAAAAAATTAAATCAAGCAAGTATGAAGAATAAATAAACAATAGATAATCAAACAAGTTGACATAACACAAGTAAACATGTAATGCTCTAGACATCGAAGCATAATAGCCTCGCATTTGTAACCCCAACTCTAAGCTATCAACAAAATTAAATTATAAAAAAAAATTTATAATGACAAAGTGAATTATAAATAAAAGAGAGAAATTATATCTTACAACAAGAGTTAAGATAATCATCCATTAACATGTCAGGAGTAATTTTTTATATATATAAATGTACTTTATTTATACATATATACATGACTGTGTAAATTTATTCTATATTTTTACAGTTTTGAGAAAACTCTTAGCTCTACCATTGTTCCAGACAACCTTATAAAAATTATTTTTTAATATATTTTTAGCTTTGGAATTAAAATATGTTGAAAATAATATTATCTCTTATAGAAAATCCAAATGTAATATTAAAGTCAAACGAATTGAAGTAATATTTTTTTTTTTTTTTACGTAACAAGCCTCAATAAAATTGAGCGTTACCAAAGCACAAATATTTATTATTCCAGATAAAAAAAAATCCACATGTAAATAAAAATTTCTTTAAACAATAAAGACATTATAATAATTATTAATCACTATAATGTGAATACTTTAAATAATATTTGTATAAAAAATATATTAAAAAAACTTTAAATCTATATAAAAAGAATCCACACAAATTAATAGCTCCAAAGGTGGAGAAGGGTTCTAACCTAATAAATTTATGATATATAATTTTGAAATTATGTAGTTTCCATAAAATAAAAATAAGTATTTAAAGATATTTTGGATACAAACTGAGTGCTGTTACATTTTCAAATTTTTTGAAAGATTTATGTAATTGAATATATATATATATATATATATATATATATATATATATATATATATATATATATATATATATATATATATATATATATATATCTCGTAGAATCAGTAACAAATTTATGACTCCATTATTTTAAAGAGAAAAATTTTAATGAGTAAATTATAAATTAATTCCTCTAATGTTAAAAATAAATTAATCAATTCCTCCAATTTAAAAAAAAATTATTTATTTATTATTTATATTTTATTGTAATTTAATCATTTTTTTATTAATTTATTTTGATTTTTTTTTAAGAAATAGAAAGATTAATATGAAATTTTTTTTTGAAATAAAATAATATTCAATTAAACATGTTCATTATTAATTGATGGAGTAAATATTTAGTTTTCAAAATAAAAAAGATTAATTAATTTTTTTTCAAAACTAAAAAAATAATTTATAATTTACTCGAATTTAATTAATTTTTCTGAATACTGCCAAAAGTTTGAACCCTAAACTTTATATAATAGCTCATTTTAAACCTCATTTAACATTTTCAGTTAAGTAATTATTTGGAACTCTCAAAGAGAGAGTACCGAACCATGGAACTCTCAAAGCTCTTCAACAAGAGTCTCAGGTACCTCTCAAATCCTTATTATGCTTTTGTTTGCCTTCCCCTCTTTCAACCCTCGCAGACACCATACTACCCAATTGCATCATGCCCATATTCAACTTCTCTCTGGTTTTGTAACTATCCTAGTTTATCCATGCTTTCTTCAAATGGGTCATCTTCTGTTTCAAAATTTATTGGTTTTGCTGGATGTAATGGTAGATACAATGGTTATAGAAGTCAAAGTTTGAAGCTTCATTTTTTCAAGTCAAGTATTCATGGTTGTTTTCGAAGTTACAAGACATTTGATGTTTATAAGGAAATGGGCACTGGTGGGATTAGACCAAAGGCAATGCAAAAGCAAGTTGCATACGTAATTGATTTGATTAAGAGGGATGCGTATAATTTGGAGTCTAAGTTGGATTCTTTGAGTGTAAAGCTATCTATTGCTTCTGTGGCTTTGGTTTTTCATGTCTTGAATAGTGAAAAGGTGCCTGCTTTGCGTTTCTTTCGTTGGATTAGACGTTGGCAGCCAGAATTGAGAAGTGATTCTGATATTTGTAGCTTGGTTATTGATAATTGCGGGCGTTTAGATGATCATGATGCTATGAGGAGTCTTTTGAATGAGTTCAACAATAACCGGTTTTGTCTAACAAAAAAGGCATTTGAGTTCTTACTTGTTATGAATAAGACGAATGATTCCCTGATGGAATCCACACAAAGAGTGACTGATATGCTGCGTGAAGTTAGAGGGTCATGTTATGGTTCTGGGGTTTCATCGTTGATCGAAATGTTCAGTGTTTTGGGATCCTTTGACATGGTTGAGTTTGTGATGAAGAAAACTGAGAGGAAGACTTCTTATTACAATATTTTGATTAGGGAAATGTGTCGGAGATGTGATTTTAAAGGGGCGAGAGATATTCTGGATGAGATGAGGGAAGAGGGCTTTGAACTGAGTGCCCGAATTTACAACTATTTAATTAGCTGTTTGCTTAAGAATGGTGAATATGATGATGCTTGCAAAACATTGACAGAAATGCAGTATAAGGACTGCCCTCCTGATGCATTAACCTTTGAAATATTTATATATCACTGTTGCAATAACAGCAAGACCGACATCGCGCGTGACTATTTTGATGAGATGGTGGCAAGGGGTCTTGAACCTCGGCTTTCAACACATGCTGCCTTTATCAAGGGTTTCTTCAACTCAGAGCAATATGAGGAGGCATACAAGTACGTGGCTGATTCAGATAAGAAGTACAAGTGCTCAAGCTGTATGAATTACAGCTTGCTTGCGAGGCTTCATCAGAGAAGAGGGAATCTGGTAATTGCCCAAAATATTCTTTCTGAAATGATTAAGAAAGGTCTTAGACCATATTTTAAAGTGTATATGAAAGTTTTGAATCGCCTCAATAAGTCCGGTAGGGAAACGCTAGCCACAGATTTGCAAGAGCAGTTTCGCCAGCTTCATTCAACAACTTAGTAAGGTTTCCACAAGAACTTTTTTTTAGGTTCTCCAATTTTTCTTTTTAAATCTTCATTTACTGAAGAAAAATTGATGTCCATAGCATATTAAATTAGCATGTGGGAGCATTTTCAGCTGAAACAGTAACGATTGTACTCTCAGATTAGACATTTAAGAGTTGATAGAAGTTTTTACTTTCAAACTTCTCTTCTGTTTTTTCCTTTTCCTTTTGCAATTATATATAATTTCAAGATGCTGGAAGTAAGAAAGTTCTCTCTTGGCTGCTACTTTTGCTTTCCTCTCCAGCTATAGAGACCGAAAGTAGAAGGAAACAAGAAAAAACAAATCATATAAAAGAGATCAGGTTGGTCCTTCCCTGTGAATTCTGATGCGAAACTTATTTGGATTTTTACCTTAAAAATATACCCGGTTGTTGATCAAACTTTCCAGTGACTTATTGAATTAAATCGAGTAATTAATCAGGTTATTTAAGTGTTTAGGTTCATAAATGATTGCCACTGGATCATTGCCTTTTATCCACACACACGCGCACACACACACAAAATTTATTTTGCTGCATTTCTTTTAAAGAATCACGATTTATTAACAGTCGTTCCTATTGTCTGTCAGAGTCATTTTGGCCACTCTTTAACTCTTATAGATGAGTGATATTGTTTAAATGCATCCTGCTTCTCCTTTCAGTTAATAGTTCTTTTCATGGTAAGTTGATGAACTTTTGGCTAGATGTGATTCGCTGCTTGAGAATTATGCTGGCGACTGCATCTTCCTTCAAATTTTATCTTTTGGCTGACCATACTTCTGAGATTGAGGGACTTAACTTAAATTTGGACAGTCACTCGTGTTATAAGCAATAATTGAGGTTTTATCATCACTTTCCTTGTTCATTATCTGATGTATCACTGTTTCAAATTAATGATTTGTGTTGTTTCCTACCGATTATTTGTTCCTATGTTATTGAATTAAACAACTACTATCTTATAAATGAATCAATATTGCTGACTATTGTCACTTAGATGTAATATTTATTTGTCATGCTAATACTGCTTCCAATCCGCTCCCAGTAGAACTGTAGAAATATGCAACAGGACTTTGTTTCTTGCTGCTTTAATGTATTGGTGCTTGTTTATGTGTTTGTCTGAAGTCTTTGAGCTGTCATGGTTTTGCTAAATGGTGCATACTCTGGGAAAAGAGTGTTGAAACTCACACAATGAAACTGATCGAGTATTTTGCATTTTGTACCGTCTCTTTGTGATCTCTGATTGTTCTCCTGCAATTTAGATTGACATATTGAACTTGTTGCTTGCTCCAGATCCAACCCATCACCTGTTAAGATTAAGTGTTACCACATACCAAACACCCAAGGTCAATTGTACCTTTTGAGCTGTACTAGTTTCAGCAATGAGCTGCCAAGAGTCTTTACTGACCCCAATATTGCTGGCTAGCACTCTGTTAGACTGGAAGTACCAAGGTCAGAAAAGGAAAATAAAAAGTAAGTGTACTGTGGATGCATGAGTTAATATGATTGTGTTTTTCTTTATGTGATGACACGAGGGGGTCAATGCTTTCAATAATTCTAATTATGGTTTGCTTGATTTATTCTTAGAGTTCCAAATTAATCTACTCTTTAGTGCCGTGTCTAAATTAACTTTTTAGGACATGACTTTTTGCTTGCAGGATTATTATTATTATTATTACTTGTATTTGAAGCATGGGCTGACGAAGAGTTGAAACAACTGGAGATCTTGGCGGGTGAATGATTTGCATTTGTCATTCATATAAATCTCAATTCACTAGTTTCTTGAATGTGCAGAGCAATTCATTTGCATGCAAAAAGAGTATTCATGTTGTACAGAGGAGCAATGAGAATATATCAAGATTTCAAGGTGGCACAAAGGCAATGAAGAACTCAAGCCTGGAGAGAAACAAACCTCGTATGATTGCATAGAGGAGTGCAGTGGTACGGGATGCAGACCCAGAACCACTCTTAGGTATTTGTTTCCCTCTATTCTTCATGAATTTTGGTATGGCATCATTGAAAACTGACAAAAATCTGCATTGCCCTCCTGCGTGGTTGTCTGCCTCAATGGAGGTGCTTATTTTGGCAGTAGCATCTACTGGTCGTGTAATGCTGCAGTGGATTATCATATTTTGAGTGCTCAAGTATGTGATTCCACTTGTTTGAATTTAGATCTCATAATTGTGGCGGTACTGCTGTAGTTTGTTGGAATAAGAGCATAAAGCTTATTTCAACATCACATCCTTGCTCAAGGCTTGCCCTCTGTCTGGGCAAGTTGGAAGTGCATTCGTAACTGTATGATTCAAGAAAGTGACAAACGAGGTGTATTTGATCTGACATAAAAGGCTACGAAAGTGGTTGATGCATGTTATGGCCAACCTATCACCTCACTGCTGATAGGAACTAGTTGAAACACTTGTCTTTTTATTGCTTAACAAACAAACACTTGTCATGCTGTAGCATTTTTTCTTTCATGATGAGAAAAAGTTGGAGGCTGTCAGATTTGATATTAGGATCTCGTAGCCGGAGGTTTGCTTTTCTCGGAAGCCTTCGATGCACTTCCACAAAACCAGTAAAAGAAATTAATTTCTATTCCATTTAGTAATAGTTACAACTCTAATTTTCAACTTTTTTTTCCCTTCGATTTTCACATTATAGTTTTCCTTTTTATTTGCTGTTTTGTAATTTTGCATGAAAGTGTTGTAAAGAAAAAGAAGTAATTGCAATTGCTGTTGTTTCAGGTCACTATGGAGCCGCTAAACAATTATTTGTGCAAGTTGTGAAGGCAAAGCTTGTTACCATCATTCCTTGTATACTTAATCTGGGTACAAATAGGCCTGCCAATAGATTTAATTTTGATTTGAATCCGATTCCACTATGATGTTTGCTCATAATCTAAATTCATTAAACCACTTATTAAATAAATTAATTATAAATTTACCTCGATCTAATTTGATAATAACCTCATTTGAAAGTAATATTAATATTATCCTTAATAATTGCAATATTTTTAAAACATAAACAAACTTAAATTAAAAAATAAAAAAAGTATTGCACTAGATTTAGATTTGGGATTTCTTTACTTTAAATGATAAATAATGTTTTGTATTTTTATGCTTTTTATTCTCTACATTCTTTCCAAAAATCACATATTTTTTTATTCATATATTTAAGTCTCAAATTAATTTTGTAAATAATCCTATAATCACAGGGAAAAAAATTAATGAGTTTTTGACAATATTATGCTTGTATTTCTAGTTTATTATGTCTTCCTCCAATATGAATTTTGGTCTATTTTCAAGTTTGTTCTATGCAAAACATTATGAATTATTTTTATACCAATCAAGCTATGTCTAACATAGATACTTTTATTATTTTCATTTAACTTTGTCGTACTTTTTGTATAATCTAAATTACCTTTGGCCTTTAATAGAGTTATTTAGTTCTAGTGAGACATTTTTTGAATTTTTTTCCTTAAATTTTCATGTGAAATATATAATAACAATATATTTTTTATACATGCTGCGGTCGAAATTCATTTGACATCAAAGTATGATGTTGAAAGCAATAAATATTTTTCCTTAGAAAATTTGACTGAATGATAAATCGGATGGATATCAGAATCGAATGTACTAGGAATTGAATCTGAATCTACAATTGAAAAATCTGATTCGAATTCATAAATATCTAATCCCATATGTTTATAAAATAAATCAAATTCAAATATTTTATGATCCGGTTTCGATCCAATTCTTTGATAGCCTTAGCTACAGAAAACTCATTTTTCACGTAAAAAAGTGAAAATTGGAATACAAGCAGTTAAGAAAGTGGAAGACGCACGTATTACAACAACGATAGCCACATCCATACACAAAATGTCTACAAAAAAAAAAAAATTAAAAAAAAGAACTTCAAACAAATCTACGAAAGAAAACTTCAATCAACCTTTATTCCAACTTCTGCAGTTTTTAAATAGGCAATAGTAGAAGGTAACATAAGAGGCTTTTGCATGCGTAGAGGAAGAGCCAAGATCAATGAGTTGTAAATGGAAGCTCCCTCCGAAAGAGCTGAAGAAGGGGAGCTATGCAGCAGGCGGCAGCACCAATGGTAGCAGTCATAACTTGGCAGTACCTGTTGCAGGTTGTTTCATTGAGAATGGTTGGACATCTTGATGAGCTTTCAGTGTCTGGGGTCTCTATTGCCTCATCTTTCACCAGTGTTACGGGCTTCAGTCTTCTTGTAACTTCTTCTTTTCCAGTCTTGCAAGTTGGAGACTGCAACTGTATACTAGTCTAAAATTCTTTTGGAAAGTTTTTCTCAGTAAAAGAAATATTGCCTTAAAGATGTCCAGAAGAGTTGAGTTTAACTTAACTGCCTGACTATTTGAGCTTGGTCTGCCTGCACTTAGATGGAGTAAGTTCAAGCTTCATTACATCTGAACTAGCATGTTCGTTCTCGATTAAGTTTGGTCAAGCTTGAGATAGCTTAGGCCCTTATTTTGATGCCTGAGAGTTTGATAATATCGCATCAAATTATTACGTAGAGAATGATGACCCGAAAGCATATGCTTTTGCTGTACTTTCATGATTTTTAAACTGCTTATGAGCTTCTTTTCTTTAAGTTTATATTTGGCAGTGCTCGACCGCTGCTACCGACTTATGGTCCGTCTTTTAGGTCATTTTCTAAGACAATGACCTTCATCTCTGTAAAACAAAAACGAGTTTTTACACACCTGGCTCTCAAGTTCTGGTAACAAAAGAATCTTCTTTAATTCTTTACACACCTGGCTCTGACATGAAAAAGGAAAAGAAAAAGAGAATGAAGAACTATATTTCAATGAGCATTCTAATGTAGAATTTTTAATTGATATCTGAATACAAATATCAATTTGCTGAAAAGGAGATATCATGTAATGTGATTGACTTCATTCACAGTAATGCTTGGGAAATATTAACAAAGAGTAGTTGAGTGAGGGCGTGACGCCTATATACTGATACATCATACATCATAATTGGAATTTTATCTGAGGAAATTCATAAAATGATACATTATAAATCATAGTTAGAGAAATTCCAACATTCCAATATGTATATAATACAAAAAAGGCAGGGATAACATCTGCAAAAGAGGTTTCTTAATACTTTCTTTTTGTTGAATATTTTATGTTAGGTTTTCGATTTGCTCAATCTCTCTGATGTTTATGGATTTGACAAAGTTTTGATTTAGTTTTGAATCATTTAAACACTTGAAGCTGAACAAAATGTGATACATCAGTAAGTTCTGAGTTAATGCATGGTGTTGTGGCTGCCAAACAGATCAGAATGGGTGGTGTTTGGAGACTCTAGGCTGGCAAGCTTATGGAGCAAACTCCAGAGCAATATCAAAAGCTTGGGATTTATGCTTATGCCATCAATTCCCTGATTCTGGTTTGTCTCCATGTATCCTTTCTATGGATGTTCACAGACAAGCTTCTAATCCTTATAGGCCAAGATCCTTCAATCCCCCATATTGTCGCAAACTGCTCTATTTGCCTCATTCCTAACTTATTTTCATAAGCTGCACTTCAAGCGCTGATTCGCCATTTCCAAACTCAGAGTTTGATCATTCCATTGCTGTTCAGTTCATATGCATCTTTGTTCCATATGCCTCTTTGTTGGGCTCTAGTGTTTAAAACAGAAATGAAATTATAGGAGCAGCATTAGCTATCAGTTTGTCATATTGGTTAAAATGTTGTCTTGCTAGGACTTTACATGAAGTATCCTTCCGAAAGCGGAAAAACTAGTTCTGTGTTCTGGAAGGATATCTTCTAGAGCCTAAGGGAGTTCTTCCGTTTTGCTGTTCCTTCCGCAGTAATGACTTGGTAATTTCGTTCCCAAATCTTTCAATCAAAACAATGGTATTTTCCTCATCCTTCTTATTATTTGTTTGCGATATGGGTTCCTAATATCATATCATCCTTTGTGTGCCAATTTCTTTTAGTCTTGAAGGGTGGTCTTGTGAGGTACTCATTCTGCTATCTGGCCTTCTACCAATTCCTAAAGTGGAAACTTCTGTGCTTTCTATATGGTATGCTTCCTACCACGAAATTATTCAGTTATGCAAAAGGTTTGAATGGTATGCTTTTGATTTCTCCAAGTGATTGCTTGCAGCTTTAAAATCACCTATCTGCATTACTTCATTCCTTATGGGTATGGGTTTGGAGCTGCAACAGGGTTTGTACGACAAAACTCTATTGCATATAGATCATGTAACCAAGTTTTCCCTTTCCTTTGTTATTACTATTTCTGAAGGAAAATTGTGACCTTTTTTAGCACCCGGTTTTCAAATGAGTTGAACTCAGGCAGCTAAAATGGCTGCTTGAGCAATAATGGTTCTTGCAATCACAGAGGTGATTATTATAAGCACAGCTCTCTTCTTTTACCATAACATTTTGGGATATGCATTCATCAGGGAGAAGGAAATTGTGAATCATGTTGCAGATATGGCTCCTTTCATTTGTCTGCCAGTTATCTTGGACAGCCTACAATCAGTACATTCAGGCAAGTGTCGTAGCTTTTTTCTAATGCATGTTTTTATTAGGGCAAGAAATCTCTTTTACCACTTCAATCTAAACTTTTTGCAATAGTCACCAACAGCTTTCTTCAAACAAAGAAGAAAAGAATACAAAGCTGCCTACATTAGTCGATACTGGATAATGATCTTTCTTCCTTGAAGTTACTTAGAGATATGATCGAAGTGTTGCCAGAGGAAGTGGGTGGCAGAATACTGGCGCCTACGTGAATCTTGGGGCATATCATCTGGTTGGGACACTGATAGCAGCCGTGTTGGCTTTTGTTTCACACTCGAGGCAAAGGGCTTTTGATTGGATTGGCAACTGGATCATGTACAAGTAACTCTGCTTCCTCTCAGGACAATTTTCAGGAATTGTCAATAACAGGTTGTTCAATCCTAAACTTCTTTTTCCTTAAATCTTTTATAGCTATGCTTCGTTATAGAGATCAGCACTTGAAAGATTTTTTTGCTACGGTCCATAGCTTTTGGACTGAATTGTTGTTCTGATTTCTGATTCTAAATTCCCTATCATGTCTCCTTTTTACTGGCAATTGCCAAAACATTTCTAAGCATGCCAGATGAAACATTCTCTAAATACTGGGTTGAGTTTTCCATGGACATTGCAGGCATCCAAAGCTAGAGAGGGGATATTTGAGGGAGACTTGTAAAGTGGACTCGTCAAAGGAGGAAAAATCGTCCATAAATCATGGAACTAAAAATTCTTACCTTTCAAGATCAATTCCATTTTCTTATTTACAGACAACTAAATTTTATTTCAGAGATTGCCAGCACTTTAAGCTGCTATTTGTTCTTCATGATAGCTGAAAAAGGACTCATCCATCTATATAAGCACAGACTTGATATCCTGAAACTAATTTCAACTACATATGTAAGCCTTTGAGAAAAGTACATTTCTTATTCACAGATCTACTTTTTTACTTTCATGCAGTTATTCTAGCTACTTCCTGCCTTTTGTCTAGACCCTAGCTACATTGATAATCACTCTGCTTTCCCTGTCATCTGCAGTTCAGCACATTCTCCTCAGACTAATGACTCAGTGGGCTGTGAACATCACAAGACCTCAACTTCCTCTACCTGTTAAACTCTTAACGCCAAATAGGCATCCTCTGTCTGCATGATGGCATTGTTTTAGACCTAATCACAGAACACAAAACACAATTGTCATGAGATAATAAATCTATGTATGTGCGCATCAGAGTGTCTAGAAATTGTGCAGAGACAGTTTTAACATATATCAATACATAATCAAACTTGGAAAACTTTCGTACTCCTGGGAGTCAAATTTATGAACAGTAAATTACCAAAGTTTCAGATGCGACAGACTAAAAAGTGAGAGGCAAAGTAGATGTTTCATACCTTGAATCCCTTCGATCAAATGTCAGGTCTACAGACCGTGATGTAGCAATCTGAAATTACCATCACCGACCATATTTTAGATATTTTGTTAACAATTGATGGAAGAAGGGTTATGATCTCATAACAAGGTTAATTGAATCGATCATTACAGATACTTTTTCATAAACTTGTTTCAATTTTGTAATAGAAAAAAAGTATAAGAACTAGGCACAAATTTTCCAACTTCCATTTAAAAAACGAAAACTATAAGCAAATAAATGATAAATGGTAAAAAAATTTGACCTTACGTGTGGGCTTTAGAATTGAGGCCTTCTGGATACTAGTCCCCTTAGATGAATCAGGTTTTGGTCCAAGTCCAGCATCGATTTCATCTACTCCCTGCAGATATTGGCAAATGCATGCATCAATGGGAAGTAAGATTTTTACTAACGAAGGAAACTAAATGATGTTTATCTGATACAGACAAAAAGTATCAGACACCAGACCACCTTTGAAAACCAGATATATGATAATCCAAAAGTGTAAAAAGAAATTATCATGCAAACATTGATCATAGAGATTCAACAAGAAAATAACAATTAAAATCAGAAGAAAATAGATCAACAATAAAATGATGCTAGCTGGTAGAGTATTGGATGAGCCTGACTAGCAATAAGTAGGTACCATGATCCTAGTTTGTCAGTAAATCAATGTAGAATTATAAAAACTAAACCATGAGTTATTACTGCGACAACTTCATTTCATTTAGTGGGAATTATAAAGTTACAGAGAGAGTCAATGGCACAAGAGGCAGCACGGTGGTGTAAAGAATTGATTTAGATAGGAGTAGAGCTTTTCAATTACAGGTTCACCTTTAGAGCTTGTAACCAATAGTGATCAATAAAGGTAGATTATAGCAACAAAAAATGGTTCGGTATTCCTATTGTAGATACACCTTCCGTCAGATGTCAGTATCTGTAGGTCACATCATGTGGGACCCATATGGAATCCACAAAAACTGAAATCTTAATGGAGTGCCAGACAATGGCAGTAGCCAGAAATTTTTCTACATGGGACTTCAATTGCTCGCTGTAATTTTGGATGATGAGAACTGTTCCAAATCACAAAAACAGCCAAACAGCCTCTATATATAAGTTTTCTTGTAATTTATAACACTCCCAAGTTCATCCTTGAAAGAGGATTCTACATAATAAAAATGCAGGAACCCAGAATAAACCACTGGATTGATGCCATAGCATGACCTTCAAGCATCATGTTCGATACAATTATATATAGTCGATAAGTTGACTAGTGTTTCTTCTTATGTATTGGTCAGTGTATTTTTTTTAGTATCACAAGGAAGAATAAAGAATCAGAAATTTATAAGAAAAATATATGTTAAAAACTGCATATACAAACACACAAAGGAAACACATTTGACAAGAGTGAATCATGGTGTTATATAAGACAACATGTGCAACCTTCAGCCTGTTTGCATCATTTTCAGTATCTTCCACAGAAAATCGCATCATCTATATCATCTTGAAAACTAATTTTTATTTCTAGTTCTACAGGTTTCTGCTAAAAAAGGGGGAAAAACATAAATATTTCCCTGTGAATAACATTTGCTTTGCTGATTTTTTCTTATCAAAACTTATAAAGAGCATAAACTCTGAACTTTTTTTGCAAATTTTATTTCAATATTCTAGTATTTATATGCGCACAATCAGCACAATAATAAAAACATCGCACACACATGTATTTGATCCATTCATGGCCATTCTTATTCACTTACAAGACTATTTTGCAAGCAGGACCCCTAGCAAGGGTTTAGAATCATAATGACTAGCCTAGAAGCCATGCATGCTTAACTTGACTATAGAAGATACACAATTAGGTTTACCTTTTTCTGCCTCTGTCCTTTGACAGAACTGATGGGTCCACACTCAAGTCCATTGTTCTGATTTGATTTATTCCTGTCAGGAAGATTTTTAAACCTGATATTTGTTGAAGAAATCGAAGTCAATTTCTAAAACCTTAAATCATCAATAAAATGCAAAACGCATTAGCAGAAGCAACTGGCAATAGTCCATTCAAAATAGAAAAGTATTAAATGCTATAAACTTCTACGAAGAGAGGTCTAATTATGAAGCATTACATGACTTTTGGTCTCTGGTTCTCAGATTCTCTATTCTTTGGAAGAATACGGTGGCCACTCAACCCTAAAGACCTCTGACCGAATCCATCACAGCTCCTGAAAAATTATCCAAGTTAAAAACCTGATGTGGGGGGTTGGTTAGACAAACAGAGAGAGATCTTACGTAATGTCAAACCTGTTATCTACACTGATTTTTCTGAAATGACTAATGGTGGTCATCTCTTTTGAACTTCTCTGCGCATATAAATGCAGATGAACAATCAGTGAAAACCATTAACAAGCAGAGAAGACTGGAAAGCCAAAGTGAACACAGACCAGATGATCTACCTGAGCAGATCGAGTAAGAACTGATGATGTTGCTGGGAGCCTGTCTGCCAAGCTTTTGGGAGTTGAATGTGTTTTAAGTGGACCATCTCTAATATTTGAAGAACGTGAGACCATCTTTTCCTTTTTTAATGAACCACGACAAACCATGGAACTGGATTGTACATCCCTATTTTGACTATGCGATTGAACCTGTTCAGATTTTATTTTGCTTGCGGTCTTAGAGGTAGTTCTTTTGCCTGAAACAAGACTAACATCTGCCTTGCTCGTAATTTCCCTACAAACTGACGACTTTGGCTTCTCAGAAGGCTTAACCACATCTTTGCTAATTCTGCAGTCTAACTTTGTTCTGTTCACAGCAGAAGCAACATTTCCCTGGTTGAGAACACAAATTAAAGTTGATAATTAGAATGCTGTCATTGGTAATTGACAGTACAAACAGAAAGCCTAACACAAATCCAGAGAACATAGAAAGTAAGTAAGCTTAATGTGACCAGAGAACATTTCAATATCATGGCAGACTATAATGGTAGTGTAACAATCACAACTACTTGAAACACAGCATACTTATTAGAGCTTATTCAAGAAAATAAAAGCAAGGGCCTAATCAGGCACCGGGGTGGGTGGGTGGGGTGTGGATGTGTTTGGTAGCGGGGGAATTTGGTTTTGTCCACGATTGCACTCTTAATAGGGCTTCGGTTGAATGGCCTGCAATCCACAAGAATATCTGTCGTTGTTTCCCAGTGTTTGGTCTCCTCTCATTCCAATCTCCACATGATTCAAAGCAAATGATTAACAGATTTTCCATATATCAGGAACTAGCCAGAGTGCATGTAGAAACAAGCTCTTTTCGTATTTACATACAAGATAGAGATACCTTCAGTGAACATAGATCAAAAGCCCATCCCTTAAAAAGAGAAAATTATTGTGTTTGATATGCAAATTTATAAGGAAAGATTATTAAAACCTTGATGAATTATCAATCCTGGGATTGGTAAAGGAGAGGTGATTTGGATGAAAATTAATTGTTTACCTTTTCCCTCATAGTAAATGCCTGCTTCTTCACCAGTTGGCTTCCACTACGCTTTACTTCATTGCTGACAGGGCCCCCTTTCTGGGTAGTTTTGGAACTGCTTTTGACTGATGGAGTACATGCAGAAGAACCGCCTTCCACAGAATGTTTTGCTATTCTGCCAGATAAGCATACCCCCGTTCCATCTTCTTTGCTAGCTCTGCCACTGTTCCCTTTAAAGAAACTTTCTTCTTCTGCTCCGCCATTAATGCCTCTTGTGGATGGGTTATTAGCAGTAGTATGATTATCTAAAATCTGAATTTTATAGACACTGCTAGGCTTATTTTCCTCTTTTGATCTGTGAATATCAGCACCATTTGCTTCCTGACTAGTATTTCTAGGTTTACTTTCCTCTTCCGATGCTTCAGCATCAATGCCATTTTCTTCTTGTGCAGTACCCTCCTTCCCATCTTCATTGGGATAAGTTTGAGGAGTTTCTTGCTCTGCTTGCAATCCCTTCATATCTCTAATTTTTTTATAGTATTCCTCAAAGTATGCCTTCTTCTGAGCAACTAATCCTGGTGCCTTGAATTTCTCCAATTCCTCCTGACGTCTGTTGTGGGAGAAAACAGAATATTTTTCCCATGCAAGTGTGTCTGCAGCATATCTTCCAAAAGATATTGAACCGCAATCCGAAATTTGAGAGATGGATACCTCCTGCTTTACATTTTTAAAGATAAATAAAACACACACAAAAAATATATATGTATATATAATAAAATAAAAATCATTAAACAGTATTTATCAAATTAACTGAAGAGCTTTTAACTTCAAAATTAGTTGCAGTTCTACATCTCAGTCAGTAACTTAACAACCCATTTTCAATAATTAGTGCAGTTCAGGTAACAAGTTGCAATCTAATTAAACTAGATTAAATTGATGGTTTCATTGGTGAATGGGCCAGGGTACTGATCTAGTAAACTTCATGTCATTTATCCTCTCGATTAAACTGATTGTCACTAAAAACAATTGGATTTGTTCCAATAATTCAAACTCGTCAGGGCTCAAATAGCTCATAGATAATCAACACAAAGTTACACAAATTGCATTGTGTTCCATGAAAAAAATTATTCTTCTTTAACATTTTCTTACAAGTACTTTAGTTTTCTTTAAATCTTGCTTACAAACATACAGAGTTTGTTTGCAAAGAAAATTACAATAAAACAACATGTTGCTGCAAAAGTTAGGGCATTTACATTTGATTCTGCACAACTGATTCTAACTCAGGCTCTCATTTATTCAATAATAAAGCGTAGAACACCAAAATAACCTATATAGAAAATGAGAAATTATCATTTGCAGATGAATAGAAATAAAGTAAACGGTAGCAAAACATTGAGAGAGGTCATACCTGGGATTCTTCCCTATCTGATGATAGTTCTAGGCGTGACCAATTGTCTCCATAGGTTTGATGATGATGGTGATGAAGATGATCTATTTCAGTTGCCATTTCCCTCTCCCCCCCCCCCCCCCCACACACACACACTCTCTCTCTCTCTCTCTCTGTGAACTTAACTTCTATGCACAAATCTCCTCATACATGAAAAATAACTGCAAAGGTATATCGAGACTGAAATAACTACCAAAAAGAAACCGCCTTCAACAAAGATTAAAAAAACCCAGTTAGCCCCAACTCATTATGTATCATAAGAATCCAAGAAATGCCTAAAATAGATAGAAAATCTTGAAAATCATGGCTTCTTAAAATCTAATAATTATACAAAGAAAATATATACCTGACAGTGTTGGCGACAAGTCCCGATGGTGCTGGTGGCGATTGCGATGATGCCTATGGTGTCCAGTCTGATCACTCTCATTCCCACAACTGAAATTCTCCACTTATAAAGACAGCAACAACAACATCAAGTAAAGAAACATCACAAATCAAAAACCCATTTCCCTCTCTCTCTCCTAAAATATGAAGAGAATGGATGCTTTTAAGGTTTCCAACCTTTGAAATTCAGCACATTTTAAGGACCACAATGAAGACTTAATTGGTAACTAATTTTCTTGTTCAAAATTTAAAACATCTTTTTGTACTAACTGCTTTCTTTCTGTTTGGTTGCCAGGAAAAATAAATGAAGGAAAGATTAGCCTACCAAAGAAGAATCTCTTTGTGCATTTATTCTTTTTGATAGGATTGGTTGGTTGGTACCTTGTCTATGCATACCTTGCTTGTTACGGCTAGGAGGGAACGTGGAGGGCCTTTTGTTGCCACTCCTAAGGCTGTTTTATCATTTCTGTTATAACTGACAGTAAAATTTATTCCAGTTATTTCTATTTGACAAAATTATTCGGAAGGACGTGGAATTCCTAACACACACACACACATATATCTTTTACTTATTAGGATGAGTCAGGGATATGCCATAAACAAATTAAGATGGGAATCTATCGATTGAAATCAGCTTTTAGAATGAAAGTTTGCTCTTTTTAGTTTTACAAGTAACTACAATGCATTAATTTTTTTTTCTTGGTGCTTCATATTAGGTTATATTATTTGGAAGAAAAAAATTAGGCATGCAAATGATTTTTTTTTTCACTAATATAAAAGTAAAATATTTAATTTGTTGTTGTCCAATGTAAGTATCCAATCTATTTTTATCTTTCTAATTGTAGTTATTATATCTCTTAATAATGTTTAAACATCTAATTTGTATTTCTGATCATGAACAAATTTCTTGATTGACATATATATATATATATATAACACTTTAAGTGATATGAACTGCATGTTTAATTTTGAAGTTTTTTTTTTTAGAATTTTTTCTTTTTTGGTTTTTTAGTAAAGAGTATTTCGGTTTAAAAAGTTGCTCAATGATTAGAAAAATTAATCGAAATGATAGATCGGAAACTTAAACATTATTCAAGAATATAATAAATATAATTAAAAACATATTAAAAAGTTATATTATTATACAAAGACAAATTTGAGCTATTTAGCTCTAATATAACCATAGATTGCATAAAGATGATGGGCTCCCATTTTATTAGCTATAGAAGAAGATGGCCTTCTCATTGCCAATGTACTACTGATCAGGCACATATTGTTCACAAAATTTTAAACATTAATGTTAGTTGAGTGTTAGAAATTATAGAAATTTGAACTTCGAGGACTGACTTGATAAAAGCTAATTAGGGCAGGTTCTAGATATAGGAGAGTTAAGAGTAATGCACCGGATGATACTGCATGAATGATTAGGTACGGAATTATTATTATTATTATTATTTATACTTCATATGACTTGATTATTGTGTAATCTACAAGTGAATTTAATTTGTAATTAATTAGAGCATGCATGCTAAATTAGTTGAGTTGAATTTTATACAACTTGCTTTGGCTTGAATCGTCACAATTATGAAACTTGTTTGGACTATATATAGAGATAGGTATATAGTAGGTTGGAATTTCTAATTAATACCACATCTCTTAATTAAATAATAAAGTCCCAAAGACTTATATGTACGCCAAATTAATTTTTGTTTTTTTTTCTTTCGATAGTGAAATATTTTTAATTTATTTTAATTTCTTGGACTTCCCCTTAAATATTTTTATTATTTTACACATCTAGAGACTTGAGTTCATTATTTTTTTTTATGATTAGTTCAACCACTATAAATGCATGTGGCGAGGCAACACATTTGATGATGGACAGTAGAAAACGTGTTCTTGCATTGTTTGTTGGTGGATTTGAGCTTGCAAGATATAGTAATCTGATTGAATTTTTATTTTATTTTTATTATTATTTTATTTTTAATGGACAATGAAGCTTTTGGTCAATTCAGTCCATTCCAAAAGGATAAGACGATAATCTTATATTTATTTAATCTTAGTTAATATTGTAAAACATTTTTATGGTTCTAATCTCTAATGGTGGGTTTAATCCTACATGTGAATGGCGTTGGTTAAGAAAATGAGAGGATCTGATTTAAACAGAAAAGAAGAAGAAAAAGAAAAGAAAAAGATGAGAGCAACCATACGTTTCACGGGATGCAAGCAATCAAGAATCTTTGATTGCGTATCAATTTGGTCCTGCTAAAATAGAAAATTTCACCATCTACTTTTGTTACTTTTTTTTTAGATCGGCAATCACTCAAATTATTGATGTTTCATGGACACTTTGCTTGTCTGGTTGGTTTTCAAAACACAAGTGGGAATATTTCTGGTTGGTTGATGCTAAGATTGCAATTGGAGGCTAAAATTTGGTATTTTTTTTTCTTGTTGAAAAATTTGATAAGTTAATGGTATCATATATATGTTATTTTGGTTCTGACAATTACCATTCTTACGTAACAAATCTCTTACTAGACTTACAAATACTAAAAATTGAAATCGTACACATGATGAGAAAGATTGTTTACAACAATTACACAGAATTAATTTGACACATTCGAACGTTCTTTTGAATACCTTATAGACAAAAGAGTTTATAGCTCTACCTACATTTAGGGCATCATGGATACCAATAGGGTCCCTCCTTCAACTACCATATTAAAAAAAAAAAAAGAGGGTTAGTGGTGGTGTTACATCAAGCTTATTATTTGCTCCAAAATTCTTTTTTTTTTTTTAAATGTACATCCTCTACTTTTTCTTATGTATTAATATGATCTTGTCTTTGATAATTGTTGACAAAAGAATTGAATGGTTCTAAAAGAACAAATTTAGGGACAACATTAAGATTAAAAAAAATATATATATATATTAGAAGAACCGAACAAATGTATAATTGATAGTAAAAATAACAAAAGCTAAAATTCATTAATTAAGAGTCAATTTATCTTGGTTTTAATATTTTTTACATAAGAACACGCCAGTGCGGGCTGCCGCTAGAACTGATTCTTAGCAATGGAAGCCTTTTTATAATGGTTTCTATAAAATCAAATAGTGATGTTAACAACTCAAAATTGGTAAAGAAGTCAGTATCAGTTGAAGAGGAAAAAGCCTTAAGCCTTTGCAGCTTTATATGGGATAAGTTTGACTATGGATATGAGCAACGCTAATAATATTGATATACTTGGAAAATTATATTGGACGCCAATCAATCGTGATACGTGGAGATACTAGAACCCACACACGACACCTCTTTCGGGAAAAAGTCCAGAAGCCTTAGGACTATCCCGAATACACCAACACCATTTGGACAATCTCTGGACAAATAATTAGGGATACCTTCGGCACTCGGCCAACAGCCGAGGATTTGCACCCATTCCCATCAATTTAGGTGATAAAAAGTTCCTTCATTAAATGAAGGCAAGCACTAATAATTATTTTTGTTTAATCAACAACAATTATGATAACTTTAAATTCATTCAGCAATAATCCATCAACATCGGAGATATTTATCTCCTAATTAGGATCATTAATGGATAACGATAAAAGAATGAACAGTCTTATCTCTTTCTTCATGCAACTTGATGAGACTTTTGACTATATAAAAAGCAAAAAAGCTTAAAGTTTCGGGTTCTGAATCTCTTAACCAAGCAACTACTATTCACTATTTTCTACATACTTGTATTACTATATTATGGCCTTTACGAGGCCACAATTTCTCTTTATATACCGACTTAGTCACCGGAGAGTCCTCTAACTCATAAACAAGGACTTATTGAAGGTATTCGGCTAGCCTTATCTTTATCTACCATTTAACTTTATAACTACATTGCTTAAGAAAAGCCATCTCATCGGACATCATCAATCGAGGTTTACGACCTCATCAATGGCGTAGTAAGTGGGAAATGGACTAAAAGCCAATCTTTAATTTCTTTTATAATCTTTGCGAGTTTTCCATAATTGAGAATTAAGAAACACCAACTCACAATGTATGGCAGTGGATTTAGCTAGTTTAAGCACTCAACCAATAGATCCCTTTCAACTATAATAACAAGTCTAAGGTTGATAGAGACACTCATCGCCATACAAAAGTAAATTAAATCCTTTGCCACTCCATCGCTAGCACCTGCAAGTGCCACCAATGCCTCTTTTGGCACCACCGTATAAGGAAAATCCTCTACTACCTCCTCCTCAAAATGTATATAGATAACTACATTTGAGAAGGATGTCAAGCAACATAAGGAGGCTTAAAGCAAGATGAGAGAACATCTCCACTCTTTCAACCCCTAAAGAAATTGCTATCATCATCATGATAAAAAAACCGATTAATTAAGGCTTTAGGCGAGAGAAAAAAGAAAAAGGATCAAAGGAACACCAAGATTAGAGGCATCGCTAGGGGAAGCATCACTAGGAGGCCTCAAATTCTTAAACATTCTTTGTTAGTCCCGAGCCCAAATGGCATTAGAGGGAAGCGAGGTCAATAATGGTTTGATAACTCGAACCGGACCACTATGATTATAGGATCCAAGCTTCTTTGCTAGCTCCTCGTATACTCGAACACTAAACTCTTGAAAGAGTTCATCTCTAATATACATATATATATGTAATGGACTAACAAATCATTGAGAACATGTGTAGAATATTAGAGGCAAGATTGAACTTATAATCCGAAGTATGAAAGCTAAGTGCAAGATCATTCCTACTACTTTTAGAGGAACGATATGAAAGTGGTATAACAATTTAGAGTCCGAGTTTAAGCTTAGTTTTGAAGACCTATGCTCTAAACTTGTTGCCGGGTTTACCATTAACATTCCTACCAAAAATAGCTCTATCGGCTAGTTCTTCATCTTATGAAAAGAAAACGAGATTATTAGGGTTTATCTCTTAGGTTTTATGGGGAGATGTTCAATGTAGATAGATTGCTAAAGCACGTTGGCACCAAAGCCTCAATAGATGAGTCTTTGATGTTAGGTTACGGAGAGAACT